CAAAAGTCCTTTGTAGGCAGACAGCCTTGCGTAAAAGTTGCACGCCCAAGCCACAGTGTGCCCTATGAGCCTATGAGTGCACGTCCTGTCCGCTGGATGATGTACCCGCCCTAGCTGCTTTAGGCATCTTGTGTGGCTTCACCCAAGAACTTTTGGCAGATTCTGCGTGCCGCCAGAAACCGCCAGCCGCTCAGAGGTTCCTTATAGAGTCGTAGCTGCTTAAGCTCCAGCCACGCGGCGTGCTGGCCTGATGTCTTCCCTCTTACTGCCCCTCATCTCGCGCAGGTCGCCAGCATTAAGATTCCCAGTTGCTTCACTGAAGCATCGTCCAATTCTCAGACACAATCTCGCTCCTCGCCTTGCAACTGTCGCCCTGTCCAGGTTGTTTACCTCAACAGCACCCAACATGAAGCCCGAGGACCTTAAGCACTACCTGGCGGATCAGCCACCCTCCGTCGTCCGCCTCGAGATTGAGAAGCACTTTGGTCTCTTGACTGACCAACAGAAGCGATATGCTCACTTTATCAGCAAGTAGGTTTCATCTTTACACCTTCACCTTGCTTATCATAGCAATGATCGTGTCGTGGATATGACCGGGTGCCTGTTATTTACACCTCTTTAGGGCTGCGTTTGCTGGTTCCAGGATTGTCCTGCGCCAGCTCTCTCCAGAGTCAGAGCCCATCTACGACTTGATCATCGCCCTTCACAAGTCGGCCAATGGCGACTGGAACGCGCTGGCCCAAAAGGCTGGTGTCGAAGAGTCCGAGCTGACCCTTTTCCTCGAATATGTGGCCATGTTCCTTGGAAACATGGGCAACTATAAGAGCTTTGGTGATGCCAAGTTTATCCCTAGATGCAGCGAAAAGACTGTTTCTACTCTGGCTGCCACATCCCCTGAAGCACAAAAGTTCTACGATGCCACCAAAGGCGCCATCTTCAGCCACGAGGACCCTGGTTCTATGCATCTTGGATTCCTCGACGCTGGCCACATGACCACCTATTACCCGGACTCCAAGGGTATCACCAAGAGCGAGATTGAAGCTGTCTCGGCCTGGATGGAGGAGAAGAGACTCTTGCCCGAGAACACTAGACTGCGAAAGACCGCGGATGGCTTTGATATTCTCATTGCTTCAGCCGTTACCAGCGTCCCCGCTGACGGAGGCGACATTGGAAAGGAAACTCGATTCACCGTTGAAAATGGACCCCTCAAGGGCAAGACCATCAGCCTTGTTTATGGTGACTACGCCGAGGAGATGAAGAACATTACTGCCTATATCAAACAGGCAGCTGCCAACGCGGACAATGAAAATCAGAAGAACATGCACCTGGCATATGCCAAGTCGTTCGAGACTGGATCCTTGGAGGCATTCAAGGACAGCCAGCGTTTCTGGATTAAGGATAAGGGTCCTAATGTCGAGTGCAACATCGGCTTTATTGAGACTTATCGTGATCCTGCTGGTGTTCGTGGTGAATGGGAGGGTTTCGCATCCAGTCAGTATACCCACATACCAACCTTGTCCTTGTATATCGTTACTAACGCTAGTTTACAGTGGTCAACCGTATGTCACTTGTTACATCTGCAGAGTGATATCAGGCATTTTCAGCTAACATAACAACTGGCAGAGGAGCGCACTCGCGCTTTTGGTGAGCTAGTCGAGGCTTCACCTTCTCTCATCCCTCTGCTACCCTGGGGCAAGGAATTTGAGAAGGACAAGTTCCTTTCTCCAGACTTTACTTCTCTGGAAGTTATGACATTCGCAAGTCAGTAATCCCATAACCCCTCTCAACCACATTACACGTTATCCTTTCATATGGGCTAACAATTGATAGACTCTGGCATTCCCGCCGGTATCAACATGTGAGCATCAAATTCTTTTTTTGTGTTCAAAACATCCTTCCTATGTACTGACATGGCCCAGTCCCAACTACGACGACATCCGACAGACCGAGGGATTCAAGAACGTGTCCCTTGGAAACGTGCTGAGCGCCAAGGCTCCTAATGAAAAGATCCCCTTCATCCGCCCAGAAGATTTGGCCGTGTACCAAGCAAACCGTGATGCTGCCTTTGAGGTTCAAGTCGGCCTTCACGAGCTGACTGGTAAGAGTTTTCCCCCTTCATTCACTCTTGTAGCCTTGTTAATCATCTACTCAGGCCACGGATGCGGCAAGCTCTTGCAGGAAACCGCTGATGGAGTATACAACTTCGACAAGGAGAATCCTCCTGTTAGCCCCGTTAGCCAAAAGCCCATCACCACCTGGTACAAGCCCGGTCAGACCTGGAGCTCGGTCTTTGGACCCATCGCCGCCTCATATGAGGAATGCCGTGCAGAGTTGGTTGCTATGTACCTGAGCTGCGAATTCCCCGTCCTAAAGATCTTTGGATTTGGAGACGGGTCAGAAGACATCAACGGCCCCGCTGGAGATGTCCTCTACGCATCTTACCTCTCCATGGCTCGTGCTGGTCTCGCCTCTCTGGAGATGTGGGATCCCAAGAGCCAGAAATGGGGACAGGCACACAGCCAGGCTCGGTTTTCAATTCTCAAGTCTTTCCTCGAAGCCGGCGACGATTTCTGCAAGTTGGACTATACCAAGGATGACCTCTCTGATTTGACCATCAAGCTGGACAGGTCCAAGATTCTCACAGCTGGTCGTGACGGTAAGTTGAAATAGTTTCCCGCCAAATTAAATATGACTAACTAACCCTTCTAGCTGTTGCCAAATATCTTCAGAAGCTTCACGTTTATAAGTCAACTGCAGATGTGAAGACCGGTACCGACTTTTACACCCAGATGAGCACCGTCGGCTTGGACTTCTGGGGCACCAAGGTCCGCCAGGTGGTCCTCGATAACAAGCAGCCACGCAAGGTCTTCATCCAGGCCAACACTACCTTGGATGAGGCCACTGGCACTGTGTCGATCAAGCACTACGATGCTACGCTCTTGGGAATGATTCAGAGCTGGGCCGACAGAGACTTGTAAGAAAGTGAAATGCATTGGTATGAGTATCGAAAATAGCGATATGTCTGCGAAATATATTGTAAAAGAACCACAAGAATAAACAGATACCCTCTCAAAAAAGATAGAGAGCTATGTTACCAGTTGATTTATTCTCGTGAATAACCAACTATAATGTTATGTCTCTTTACGCCTCGAAACGTAAGGCTCAGTTATACAAAGTCGTCACCAAATGCTTATCCAACATTTGCAAAGTATGAAAATGGTATTAACACGTTGGCATTTGTATGTAGTTTTTTATACCGTTAAGGCTCTCTTTCACCGTTTCCTGGGCAGAGTGATTCTCCATTAAAATTGAGCCTTTCCTCGCCCTCATTTTTTTGCATTGGAAGTTGACATGGATATGGCAAGTTGCAAGGTTGTATGTCGTTCACAGACGTATTTTGGTTTTTACCAGAAGCCTGGTGGAAGAAAATCATTTATGCTCGTTTTGTTTTTTTGACTGTAAAAACCTGATTACAGACGCCAAGATGTGACCGATGCCGTCGACTTCCAAATGCAATTGGCCAAACCAGCCCATTTCGGAGACCCTTTCCGTTCTACAACCCGCATCTTGACCAACACCCCAGTAAACTCCACCCCGCGCTTTCGACCTGCCAGAGAGATTTTGTGTTTGAATCAAATTTACCACGCCATCTCGTGGGGCTTGTCACCCTTCCGCAGGCTGAAGGTGCTGGCGAGGTAGCTGGCCAACAGATCCACCTTCTTGATGCTAGCAAGCAGGGCCTTGTCGACGGCCTTCTGGTCCGCAGCACGGCTGCTGTTGATCTCCTTCTTCTGTAATTCAAGCCTCTGTTAGCAAATCCATGCTCTCTTGTTCCTCCTCATTCTCCGGCTTTTCTTTCTTTCTGGTTTTTTGTACATACCTGGGGCTTCTCTCCCTGCTTGAAGAAAGCCTCAGCGGAAGCCTTCTCCTTGGCCTTCTCGGCGGTGAAGTACTTGGGCTGAGAGATCTCCTCGATCTTGGCGGCGTCAAGGCCGGAGATGTCGACCTTGTAGGAGGTGGCGATGACGTATCGGGCGTTGACTCTTCGCAGGGGAACGCCGTTGATCTTGAAGGGACCAGTGACGAGGAGAACACCCTGGTCGAGAGTCTTGAGAAGGACGACACGCTTGCCACGGAAGCGGCCAGCGAGGAGGATCAGGACGGTACCAGGCTGGAGGGTCTTTCGGGGGGCCCAAGTTCGGACGGCCTTGCGAACCTATTTGTTTCCAAAGCGTGTCAGCGCGACCTGAATTCTTTTTCCCATGGATGACGATCGGTGCGTCGCAAAGTAAGGGGGATTTGGAAAAGGGACCACCAGGTGCCGGAGTCTGTTCGCAATTTGGGGAGGCGTCGTGTTGTCGGTTTTAAATACATGTTTGGTCATTCCCAAAGGAAAATTGAAGAAAAGAAAATTGACCAAGCGCCAAATCTCGAAAGCGCTGCCAACCCGCATCCCGGCGTTCCCAAACAACCCAAAATTTGTTCCCTTCAATTCCAATCGCCGTGTCGTTCCCAAATTGCGAATGCAGACATCTGTACCAGGGGCTTTCTCTTTAATTGCGACGCATGACCAGACACAACTCACCTTCTTCGGGGCGCTCTCGTCGTCGGCAGGGTACCACTTCTTCGCCTGGTCCGCGGAGGCGGGAACCTCCCGGGTCGACTTCCCGAACTGCTTGGTCGTGGGCTTGGCCGACATATTGACTCTCTCGGGTGTCTGATATGTGGGTGTGGAGAGGATGAGGAAGACACGTTCGTGATGTTCACCCGAACGGAAATGTTGGATTTCTTTGTGAGCGCCGCTAGCGAGTTTGTGGGAAGCAAAATGTGAACCCTCAGGCACTAAACCGCTTACGGCGCCAATCCGTAGCAGCCATTCCCGCTTGCTGGTGGGACATGGGGCTCAACGCACGTGATGATAAGATAGGCGCTAGTGCTGGGCCGATGGCGGCCGAAGATGCTCGAAAGTACTGTCGAGATCATGAAGCTACGATAAGAGCTTCGGCCTTTAGGATAAAGAGGGAGGTCACGCCACTGGCGATGCCCTTTTGCTTGTTTCTTCTTACATATATCTCCCTCAATTCTATTTCAATTCTAAGTACATATTATTAATATTTACCACCATTCTTACTCACTTTAATCGCCACAATGCAAGCCAGGCGACAGTTGTTGTCCTCGGCCCAGCGCATTGCTGGTGCCTCTAACAGGCTCACAAGACCGGCTATTGCACGATCAGCCATTAGGCCTCTGCTCTTAGGGGCATCATCATCAAGACTTGCCCCGGCCTTATTAGTAAGAACATATGCCAATGGACGTCCACATCCACCAGGAGGAACCCATCGGATGAATATGGGAGGTGGTGAACCAGAGAAGCCCGCACTGGAGCAATTCGGCATCGATTTGACAGCCAAAGCCCGGGATGGTAAGCTGGACCCTGTGATTGGAAGAGATGCAGAGATTCAGCGTACAATTCAAATCCTATCCCGGCGAACCAAGAACAACCCGGTTCTCATCGGAAATGCCGGAACTGGCAAGACGGCCATCCTGGAGGGATTAGCATTGCGCATCGTCCGGGGCGATGTTCCGGAAAGTGTCAAAAACAAGAGAGTCATCTCCTTGGATCTAGGGTCACTGATTGCCGGAGCGAAGTTCCGAGGCGACTTTGAAGAGCGCCTGAAGAAGGTGCTGGATGAAGTTCAAAAGGCGGAAGGCCAAGTGATTCTCTTCATTGACGAGCTACACACTCTCCTTGGACTGGGCAAAGCCGAAGGCTCCATTGATGCTTCAAATCTGCTCAAGCCGGCCTTGGCTCGTGGTGAACTGCAATGCTGCGGCGCGACTACCCTCGCCGAATATCGTGTTATTGAAAAGGACGTGGCGCTAGCCAGACGTTTCCAGCCCATCATTGTTAGTGAGCCAACTGTAGAAGACACCATCAGCATCTTGCGAGGTATCAAGGACAAATACGAAGTCCACCATGGTGTCCGAATCACTGACGGTGCTTTGGTGGCCGCTGCTGCTTTATCCAACCGATACATCACGGATCGATTCCTCCCGGATAAGGCCATCGATTTGATGGACGAGGCTGCAAGCCACCTGAAACTACAACACGAAAGCAAACCCGAGGACATCATGAGGCTGGACCATAAAATCATGACAATTCAGATCGAACTGGAGAGTTTGCGTAAAGAAACAGATGTCGCAAGCAAGGAACGCAGAGAGAAATTGGAGCAGGATTTGAAGAAGTACTACGATGAAATTTCGGAGCTCAATGCAAGATGGGATAAAGAAAAGTCCGAAATCGAATCAGTCAAGAAAATCCAAGAGGACCTCGACAAGGCCAGATTCGAGCTCGAGCAGGCGCAGAGAGATGGAAACTTTGCTCGAGCCTCCGAGCTCCGATTCGGCGTCATACCCAACCTCGAGCAAAAGTTGCCGTCTGACAAGGAAATTCAGCAAGACACTGCCGACGGAACTCTCATCCACGACTCGGTGACAGCCGATGACATTGGCAATGTCGTATCCCGCATCACCGGCATCCCCGTCTCGAAGCTCACTTCGGGACACATTGAGAAGTTGGTTCACATGGAGGATATTCTGCGGGAATCTGTCAAGGGACAAGAAGATGCCATCAAGGCTGTTTCCAACGCCGTGCGGCTCCAGCGAGCGGGTCTAAGCGGCGACAATCGCCCCCTGGCCTCATTCTTCTTCCTCGGACCGACTGGTGTTGGCAAGACTGAGCTTTGCAAGAAGCTCGCCAATTTCCTCTTCTCGACCGAGTCTGCCGTCGTCCGGTTTGACATGTCCGAGTTCCAGGAGAAACACACCATCTCTCGACTCATCGGTGCCCCATCCGGCTACGTTGGATACGAAGACGCAGGGCAGCTTACTGAAGCTGTCCGTCGCAAACCTTATGCCGTTCTCTTATTTGACGAGTTCGAAAAGGCACACCGCGACATCTCCGCCCTACTTCTCCAGGTCCTTGATGAAGGTTACCTCACCGATGCCCAAGGCCACAAGGTCGATTTCAAGAACACCATCATCGTCCTCACGTCCAACCTAGGAGCAGACATCCTCGTCGGCCAAAACCACCTACACCCATACAAAGAGGACGCCAACGGCGACATCGATCCATCAGTCCGCCAGGCAGTCATGGACGTAGTCTCATCCGCCTACCCGCCCGAGTTCCTCAACCGCATCGACTCATTCATCATCTTCAAGCGGCTCGCTCTGAGCGCCATCCGCGAAATCGTCGACATCCGCCTCAGGGAGCTTCAGCAGCGTCTGGACGACCGGCGCATCACTCTCTCCATATCAGACGATATCAAGGACTGGCTAGCCGAGCGAGGCTACGACCCCAAGTTTGGAGCCCGTCCTTTGAACAGGCTGATTACAAACGAGATTAGCAACGGACTTGCTGATAAGATCATCAGAGGCGAACTCAAGATGGGAGAAACAGCCGAAGTCAGATTAAAAGATGACAAGGACGGATTGGAAATCGTGAATGTTTCCGAGACTGCTAAAACGGACAGTGGGGAAAAGAAAGAATAAAAACAACAAAAAAGAAGCATTATTGGCGTATTTCTTCTGCATTTATTGGTAATGTATTATTTATTAGTTGGCATTGGAGGAGTTGGCCATAAGAAAAAGAATGTACCATTTGTATACTAGGTCTACAAACTCCTCTCGGAAATTGTAAATTAGTTGATACCCCCCTTTGGATTTAAAAACAAAAAATTGATTCCAAATTACTTTTAAGAAGCATCCTCGACGTGAAATCAATGGTAGCTGAAACTAATACCTATGGATAGCTATTGGTATTCCCATTCCTATATGCATCATTGAGTCTGTGCTCAACCAGTAGCGGCTAGGATTTGACATCCAGTCATTTCATCCAAGACTCTGGTGTGACCTCTTATTAAATCAGCCCAAGCAGCTCGAGCAGATCCTCTATCTCTATCTTCATAAATCAGTTCCATTAACCCATGCCGTGTTTTATATGGCAACGAGTCCACGAAAGCCACCGTACATTACTTTTTCAAAGAGATGGCTTCTTCAATTTTCAACCTCCCATATATCATTTTCGTCGATTCCAGTATTGAGGATTGCAACGGGAACAGCTGTTTCCGTTTGGTGGGTATATTGCTGACGTTCAATCGTCGGGCTGGATCTTCACACTCGACTAATACTTTTTTGTCTCGCTCCCTTGACTGACTGAAGCCTGACTGACTTGGCTATTGAGTCGGCCTCCTCCGGCTTACATTTGTGGTTACTGTGTAAATGGCGTCTCAACTGATCCAGACGATTAAAATCTTTATTGCACAAGGGGCAAGAGTGGCCACCCCTCTCGTTGTGAGTTCGGCGATGCTTGGAAAGATTTGAAGATTCCCCAAACGACTTCCCACAGATGTCACACGTCAAAGGTTTATGCCCAGTATGTGTGCGCTCGTGCATGGCTAATAGGAGAGTCAGAAGAGCCGTGCATGGCTGGATAAGAGTTGAATTGCTTACTAAGTGCACTCTGTTGCTTGAAAGCATGCAAACAACCCGGGAAACTGCATTTCCAAGGCTTTTCGCCCGTGTGCACTCTCATGTGTTGGTCAAGCGACTGCTTCGCTGAGAGCTGCAGGCCGCATATGGAGCATTTCACAGGTTTATCTAAAAGTCGGCGTCAGTATACAGTATTTCTCCATTGTTGCAAGAGGCGATTTCACTTACATCCTGTGTGAGTTTGAATGTGGCGTTCTAATTTGCTCTTTTGGCCAAACACACTCGTCCTTGTACAACCTTCCCAATGGCACCGAAATCCAGGGGGTTGCCGTGACATTCCCTTCAGATGATCATTCTTTGTGTGGTTATGCAGTTCATCGGCATCCTTAAATTGCATAAGGCAGACTTTGCCATCCGGTGATCTCCATTGACAGGTATAATCGACGACGGTCTCTACGTCCACCGATGAAATTGGGGTGAGCTCAGTTGATATTGACTCCACGGATGACTCGATCGGTGACTCCTTGGTTTGTGTAGGAGGAGTCGTTGCATGTGGGGTGGGAAAGGGTGAAAGTGACGAAACCACGGATGGGTTCTGCAGAGGCGAGTCTGATGGAGAAAAGTGTGTGTCATGGGATGAGGTTGCGCTTAAAGAGTAAGACGGCGGGATGCTCGTACGGATAGGAAATAAAGAAAAATGGTCTTCAGCTTGCGAGGGCTGCGACAAGCTGCCAAGGTCGGGGATTGGCATGTTTATAGGCCAATGATCTTCGAATATGTGGCTGGCAAATTGGTCAAGTGTGTTGACCTCAAAGCCACATGTGAAATCTCCAAGATTGCTACCTAGCCCATGGCTTAAGGCATCTCCGCTGACAGTTTTGGGCAGAGTGCATTTCGGAATGGCGAGATTGGGACCATCGGCAATACATGGGCGAACATGCTCCACGCTATGTCGAGGATCATGGTATTGCAGAATGTGAGTTGCGAGCGGGTTCTCTTGAGTCAGGTATTCCCAAAAATTGCCGAACGTGCCATTATCGGCAGTCGTTGACAAGAACCCTTGTGGAAAGGAGTGGTTGCATGTCGACCCAGGAAAACAAGAGTGAGGTCCAAATTGTGAATCCGAATGAAATTGCTGAAAGCTGTTTGGCATAAACTCCAAGGAGGTATCTCCGATAGACGCAAGGGCTGCTGCAGCTTGCTTGTCGCCGTCTGAGAAGCCAGGGCCGAGGGGAAGTTGCTCAAGTCTGGCAAGGCCCAAGCAATTGGCATCCGTGCAGGGGGTAGCGGCATCCTCGCACATTTCGTCAAGGCACAGCTCTTTGTCGTCGCATGTATCATCATCGCAACACATTCCTTGGCCCGTATCACCACATTGGCTTGGGCAACTTATACCGCAGGCGGATGTGCATGACACCATTGATCTACAGTCATCGTCACAATTTGTCTCCGTCTGGCGCAAGGCATCTTTGCCCAGACGAAGAGAGCGAGAAGCATCAGGGAATGTGTCATTCAAATAGGCGTCCCAAGAGAAAGAGAAGGTCGGCTCGGTATCTGAGGGAGGGATGACTGCGCCAGAACTGCCGTGCCGGTCTCGTAACTGCGGCTGAATACCGTGATCCATAAAGGAAGCCATGGTGGTATGGCTTGAGGGCGATAAATCTAAGGAGTTTTGGGATGATTTTGAGGGTTTGAAAGGATCGGTAGAGTATACCGACGACTGGGCGTCTAGACGAGAATCGTCGTGAGAGAAATGATACGCAGTCGTTCCGGTGCCGTGAGGGATCCGATTGCTCGCATCCATCAGTTCAGAGAATCCAGAGGATGTGTCTATTGTAAAGTCATGAGAAGGTGGGCGAATGAATTCCATTGATTTGACGGAAAAAAGACGACGGGTGTCAATGCTCTATTAAAACGCGGGTTCTATGAGCTGCCTAGACATAGCATCAGCGACTCTGAGGCGATGCAAGACTGGCGAGAGAATACACAAATCAAATCTTACCCGTGAAAAGACTCAGTTTGTGAGTGGCTCATCCTAGAGAGAAGAGTCTAAGGGATTGGGCGAGCTAATAACGAGCCAAAGGCGACAGGGAAGAACTGGCAAAAAGTTGCTGTCAAAGCCCTGAATCGCAGCGCCGAAGCCTTTCGCAAAGGGGAGAGTGGAGAGTTTCCAGAAGGCTGAAAGGGACGAAGAAAAAGAAATTCCTCTTGGCCAGCCTCGAGTCTGTACAGGAAAGAAAGAAATTGGAAGGGATTAAGAAGCACGAGCACAAGCACGAGCACAAGCGCAGCAGGCGCAGGCGCAGGCGCGAACGTGGAAGGAACGCCCGCCTGCGGTCTGGGACTGGCTGACAAAGGCTGAGAACCTTGATGGATTGTGGTCCCTCAGCGGTTGCAACTTCCACCCGCCATATTTATGTTTTTTTTGCGCCTGCCCCACTGAAATCCTTGGGCGGGGCGCCGACAGTAGGTACGTACATTGCGGCTAAACTCCACAGCTTTGCAGCTGACAAGTACTCGTACGGCGAAGTACTTGGGCGAAAGCGGCCACAGCACCGACAAACACACGTTTGATGTGCGCCGTTGAGGTACTGCCTCTGTATTTGTGGTATTTGCGCACAACGGCTCGGGTGCTCGTGCTTCGCTTATTGCGGATTGGTGGGTTCACAAGCAGACGCACGCCATTGACAGCAAACTCCCACGGATCATGACATAAGCGGCTACTTTGCTTGTGGTAGGGATCCAACGCTTTGATGCTGCACGAGCTCGATATTGGATGATTTCGACTGTGTTCAATTTTAGTACTGTTAAGTCACTCTTTATATCGCTAGTGTTTTGGTGATGTGGTAGCCGTTGACATTCTTGATACAGCTCCTTTGATATGCCATACCTATATACCCTGCTTAGACTAGGTTCATATGAGGACAATTACTTTTCAAGTTTATCTATCAAGCACAGCAATGATATAATTGCGCCGCCTTATACTTTCAACATCAGACCTCAGTGACACTCAGCTTATAAAGTAGACCGCAGCCTAGAAATCCCAACTCACCTTCCACTCCCCAAACCATCATCTCATCTCAGTCTCCTCCAGGGTAATAAATCCCCTTCTCAAACCGCCCAAAATAATAAGCAGCCAAGATCTTAAAAATCACAGGCTTGGCCCGCGCTATGAAGAAAACCCCGCTTAGCATCCTCCCCCCCTGCCCGACAAACGCCTTTCTCAAAAAGCACACCGCGCAAACCAAGTTCCATCCTCTTCCTTTCTGGCGCTGCATCATGCAGGCTTGCGCGCATCGCTAGCTGCCAGACAAACAACCTTATCCCTGTTATCGCACTTACTGGTTTCGCATGCGACATTGAACAGGATATAATTATGAGCAATAGATTTGCTTGAGCTCTCTTCGTTGCTGTTTGCGACAACTTCCGCTCTTCACCTCAGTCGACCTGCTCCCACTTCCGCGTTCGCTGCTAGCCGCTCTCCAACCAACCTCAACCTCCCATTGATCCCAAGCAACGCATTTCCAACAATCTCGACTTAACTCACAAAACCATGGGCAACATCTGCGGCAAGACCGAGCCAGAGCCGGACGCTCAAGCCGGACGCCGCCTCGGCTCAGCTCCACCTCCGGGCCCGAAAACCGCACGCGTCCCCCAGAAAGTCGGAGGTCCTCCGCGAACCCTCGGCGGCGCAGGTGATGAGTCTGGCGGCGGCGACCCGGCTGATGCGCGGAGAAGAGCTGCCGAGGCCGCCGAGGTGAGTTTCCCTTCGCCCTTTCCCCTTACATCTATATACGTCGTGGCATCTATATATGTTGTGCTATGCGCCGCCGTGCTTGATTTCCGATATACTGACTGCTTCTTCTTCGTAGGCACGCGCAAAAGCTTCCTCCAAAGGCGGAAAGCTCCAGTCCCAGCTCAATGCGCAAAAGAAGAAGAACCTATCGAGCACCCTCGCCGAAGCAAGCAACCAGGAACTGCGCGCCAGAGAAGCGGACGAGGCCGCCCAGGCGCGAAACTGGGATTAGCAACCGATCGCGACCACGAATTCTACCTATCTACCAAACATACTTACCTATAAAAGAGGCTGGCAATACTATATTGCAAGTAGCAGGACTGCGGAATGCGAGAGTAGTCCTTTATTCGGAGTTCTTTTCTTTTCTTTCTTAGCCGGGGTGGTTCAGTTCTTTCTTCTCCAGATACCCTTCGTTGCTCTGGAGCATACAGCTTGGATTAGATACATGTCTCAATGCACACTTCCAGACAAGCATGCGACATTACTGTTGATACAACACATTCCTGTATATATACACTATAAGCACTAAATTTGATTACCAAAACTCGATATATAATTGCCTACACTAACCTAGACGCCCTTCTCGTCTTTATGTAGAATTTCAATTAATAGATACCTAGTAGCCCTGCCCCCTTGCGCCTTTTCACCGCCTGACAGACAAAATATTCATGCTCCATTGTTGATTGAGCGTCATAAAACAAGCAACTTTACCAACTGAGCAAGTGTTTTCTTCCATATCCCATACTCTTCGCTCCCTCTCCCCTCCGCCTTGTATATACCAATAATTCCCAGCCTCAAATTAAGTAACAGTATATCTTCCGCTCGCGGGAGCCCTGCTGTCTGCATCTGCCGCAGCAATTGTACCCTCTCTCAGAAGCCTCGTCATTTCGTTCAAAGCAGCGGATACCACGAGCTCCGTATCGCCTTCAATAAGAATATACAACTTGGGTTCTGCTCCAGCCGGTACTTCCTTTCCGGGAGGATAGAAGCTACCTTTGGTAGTGATGGATGTTCCGGTCGCCTCCAGAATCTTGGCCACGTTGGTGCGGTTGGTGACGGCCCACCTAGCCTTCTGGGGGAAGTCGTTGATTTCCAGCGTAGCGTGAAATGCACCGGCATCCGGACCTTTGTTGTCGATAGGTTGGCCAGAACGAAGCTGGCCAGCCTTGCCGAGGCGGCTGTTGATGGCACTGACAGCAGAACTAACCTTGTCCAAAGGATCCTTGCCCTTCTCACCTGTGACAACAACAGGCTGGGCTCCCTTGCCGCTCTCTCCTCCCTCAGCCCGTGCTATTTCACGAGCCTGGACAGTGGAGGCCGCCGCTTTGATAGCGCTAAGCGTCTTCTCAATCTTCTTGTCTTCTTCTTCCTTCTTGCCCTCTTCCTTAACCTCTTCTTCTTCACCCTCAGCTCTATGCGTCTTGCGCTCGCGAAGACGAGCGGCCTCACGTTCTGCATCCAGACGATCCAGACCCTTTCCACCAAATCCAGACGAGTCCTTGGCCTTACCTGACTTGACCTTTTCTCGGTGAGATTTCCGCATCTCATTGAGGCGTTCTGGGACAGGTTGGTCACTCTGTTCCAAGGCTTTGGCGATACCAGGAGCGCAATTCTCTTGTTCAGGCGTGACAAAAGTAACGGCGGTTCCTGTGTTTCCTGCACGGCCCGTTCGCCCAGCACGGTGAACATAGTCTTCCAGGTGGTTGGGTGCGTCGTAGTTGATGACAAGCTTGAGCTGCTTGACATCTAAGCCACGCGCAGCAACCGATGTAGCAATCAAGATGGGCACCACGCCTTTCTTGAAATCAGAAATGGTAGAGTCGCGATCTACTTGATCTTTACCTCCATGAATGGACATGCAAGGATAGCCCTTCTGCATTAGCTCTTTAAGAAGATCATCCGCTTTCTCTTGCCGCTCGACAAAGATCAACGACCGGGCATCTTCGTCCTTGTCATAGAGCTCACCTAGCAACTCTAGAACACGGAGAAACTTTGTACTCTCCTCTCTAACCTCCACAATTTGCTCAATCTCCTTGGCAACAACGCTGCGGCCGCCGACGGTGATCTCAATAGGGCTCTTGAGCACCTTTTTCGTGAGTGAATCAATGAGGCGTGGCATGGTAGCCGAGAATAGAATTGTTTGTCTGTCAGGTCGCATGTTGGCAAAAATCTTCATCACCTGTGGCTCGAAGCCCATGTCAAACATTCGGTCGGCTTCGTCGAGGACCACATAGGTAACCCTCCGGAGATTGGTGACTCGGCCCTGGTTGGCAGCCAGTAGATCGATCATGCGGCCAGGTGTGCAGACAATAATCTCAGCACCGCGCTTGAGTTCGGCAATCTGATCTCTAATGGGAGCTCCGCCATACGCACAAACAGCACGTAGGTTCATCATCTTCAGGAAAGGTTTGCAATCTCTGTGGATCTGAGTGGCTAGCTCACGGGTTGGTGTCATAATTAGCCCAATAGGGCCATCTGTGTCCTTGAGCGGCTCTTGGTCCTTGATATGTCGAAACATTGGAAGCAAGAAGGCCATAGTCTTGCCGGATCCCGTCTTGGCCACACCAACGACGTCCCGACCTGACATCAGCGCGGGCAAGGCCTGCATCTGGATCGGCGTAGGCTTTTCAAACCCGAGGGAACCAACGACATCGAGGGTTTGGCGGGTGAGACCACACTGAGCCCATTTCTGAACAGGCTTAGGTACATCCTTGCCGTTAACCTTTATTCCATCTAGCTCCAGTCGTAAATCTGTGACATCTGCTTCGGAAAGCGAGCTCAACTCTGCAGGCTCGACCCAGAAATTCTTGCGGATAGGTTGCAGATCTATCTTTGAGTAGTCAACGCTTGGAATATCCTTCTTCTTGCGCTTATTAGCGATGGCAAGCAACGCGGCGTCTGCCTCCGGGTCGCCTTCGTTATCAAAGGCATAATCATCATCAGAGAAATAAGCCTCAGGTTCTTGCTGCTTCTTGACAGTGGAGGCCTTCTTCAAAGGGTTCTTGACAGTCTCCGTTTGTTGAAGGTCATCCATGAATGCATCTAGAGGATCGACTTCGTCATCCTCTTCATCAACATCCATGTGTTCCGCAGGTAGGGCTTTGTCGGCTGTTTCCTCTCCGTTGGTAACATGATCGCCGTTAGGTTCCCGCGCCGCTTGGGGTTCGTCGTCTTTCATCTCCTCATCAGCCTGGTTTTCGACATGGGTTTCGACCTGGGTTTCGGTTTCGGTTTCGACTTCGGTTTCGGTTTGGTTTTCAGCCTGAAGACGTCTTTCATGAGCAGCACGTGCAGCGGCGGCAGCCTCTTCCTCGTTTTCGGCAAAGTTGTCGCCATCCGATTCGTCATCCTCATCTTGGTCAGCATAAGGGGTGTCGTCAGCCTCTATTGGAAGGCTGGGGAGCTTGGTAAGCTGTCGTTTCGTTATGACCTCCTCATCCATGTCAAGCTTTCGCTTGTTGGGAAGCTTGTCCCCTTCAGCATGAGATTTGCCAAATCCAAAAATGCTGGCTTTGGCACGATTTGTAGGCAAAGCAGACGCTTTATGATGATTCATGTCAGTAAGAGTAAAGCCATCTTGTCTCAAGGGAGGCAGAGACTTACCAGCAATTGTCTTCTTCACAGGCATGGCAATGGTAGGCGGTTGAACATCTATAGATCCCAGAGCCCCTTTAGTAGTATCGTGTGATCTTTGAACAGCAGACTTCTTTGCAATCGTTTTTGGATCAAACTTGCCAGTATAAGGCTTTGCTGGAGATACGCTTCCCGAGTCAACAGGAGCAGGAGAAGCAGCGGACGACACAACAGGTGATGAGACAGCCGTGGATCCCTCCTTGGCCCTCTTGTCCATCTCGGCCAACAGATTTCTAGTTTGGCTGGCATTCACCTCTTTTTGTTTCTGACCCTCGAGCTCCTTCTTCTTCTTCCATGCTTCAAGCTTGGCAAGCCGCTCTGCCTTCTTATCAACCTCGGATTGCACAGCGTTCGGCTTGGCCTTTTGGGCCTGTGATATGTCATGAGCTCTAGTTCTCTCATCCGGGATCAGAACACATACCTCATCAGCTCCATTCCTGCCATTATCAGCTACCGGGGTCTTGCGAGATCGGCTGTCAGCGCGGTTGCTGCGAGGATGAGAGTCAGCCGTGCCTTCACGTCGGCTTCTGTTCCTAGAATCGTCTCGTCTTCTAAAGTCGTCTCTACTACGGTCACGTCGGCGGTCAGGCGAGCGAGCCCTAGGCGCGAGTCTCTCTCTCGACCTTGCTCCTCGGCGATCACGTGGGCCACGGTAGAAGTCATCGTCTCGGCGATCTAAGGAGCGGTCTCGTCGCCGAAAGTTGTCGCGATCGCGGTCACGGTCACGGCCGCCACGATCCCTGTTGTCTCTGCCTCGATCGCGGTCGCGGTATCGATACTGTTGTTTGTTCAAAATTCTGTCAGACTCAAGTACCGGTATATAGGAGTCGCTGCCAAAGCTGGAGCTGGAGCGGCGGCGGTCAAATCTCACATCCGGGCTGCGCGACCTTGAGCGCCGGCGAGTATCCCTTCCATCGTCTCGGCGGTCTCTGGCATCCCGCCGGTCGTCATCTTTGCGGTGGCGGCGCGAGTTGAAATGGCTGCCTGCAGGACTTGGTGAGCGCGAGTCTCTTGGCCGAGCCATTGTTGTGGTCTCGCAGGCTCAGTAAGACACTACGGTTTGTGAGTACTACTTTTTGGGTGGTCTCGAGTCGATGCAAGACTTTTTCTCTCTCTTCGTGGCGATGATGTTGAGAAACGCGAATCGAAATCGAGGCTGGTCCAAACGATGGAATAATTTGATTAAAATCGGTCGCACGCCACCCCCCGAGCTGGTCAATTCCCCTATTCCAAGCCTGTCGCACAAAACCAGAAGCACAATCAAGATGATTAAGGATCGAAAGTGTCGATGCAAGCGTTGGGCGATAGTGAATGAAATGATGCTTGGGAATAGTGACGGAGGGGCGTTTTGCCGTCACAACTGCTGCTGGTGTTGATAAAAGCGACCCGCTGAAAAGTTGTCTGGAGGCTTGGACTAGCCGGGCTTCAGCCGATAGAGATGCCGCGATGGTTTTCTCGCGCTAATCCCTATCTGGCCTCAGCAGCTCGTCGCGCTCATCCACCTCTCACTCACTTTAACTTGTACCTGTTTTATCAACAGCGTGAGGTTCAACTTTTGAGTCGCAATGGCTGGGCTTGTTGGGTATGCAAGCTCTGATGAAGAAGGAGAAGACGAGCAACCTCAATTGCAACAGGATTCCCCTCAGGTATTTAAACATTCCGGGCTTGTGTCTGCGCAATGGCATTTCACTAACACGCCGATAGGTCGCCACACAGGCAGCAGCGCTTGTTGCAGATGAGGCTGAGAAAGAGGAACCTCAAATTCGTGAGTTCATCCGGCCAGAGCCTCTATATCAAAGCAAAATGACAGCGTGCTAATGTTGAAATAGAAAACTCAGTAGAATCTTCATCATCAAGGGAGAAAGATTCTGACAGCCAACCGCAGCCAACCACCATCGGCCCCGTGCCGCAAAATGCTGTTCCTTTAGGCCCATCCCTTCCACCCGCCGATGCGGCCATCGCCAACACCCTTCCAGAGCCCGATGGGCCACAAGAATCACCTTCATCCCCTTATTCATCCAACCGCGGCTTAATTCACGATCTCACCCTCCCCTCTGTACCCAATCTCGACATCCCGCCTTCGCCGCCGGGATCCCCACCCCCTGGATCCAACAAAAAAGTCGAACAATTTTTAGAACTCAAAAAGAAAGGCGTCCACTTCAACTCCAAACTTGAACAGTCCACAGCACTTAGGAACCCATCTTTAATGGATAAGCTACTAGACTTTGTCGGTATCGATGAGGTGGGTCAGTATGAGACGACCCTTCCGAAGGAGCTGTGGGATCCAAGGGGACTTCCAGACTGGGCATTTAGAGACAAGCTCAGCAAAAGCAGAGAGAAGATTGCAAAGGAGAAGGAGGCGGACAGAGCTGCTGGCGGTCGAACAGCCATCGACTTTGTTCCATCGAATGCTTCATCAAGCGGAGGAGCGCAAGGCTTACCAGGAGGAATGAGCGCAAGAGGCGAGAAGCGTAAGGGTGGTTGGAAATAATGATTACGAACAATACATGAACGAATTTGGATACGAGTCGGTCGGCAGAGTAGATTTGGCTCAACATTAATGGATGAATTGCGCGCCCATGGGCCGCCCCTACACCACCTTGGGAAAAAAAATACAAACATTTACAAGGAGGTATCATGAATCAGAATGCACCGTGACTGAGGCTTCATAACACATCTTCTTGTTCGTTCCCATCCCTTAAATGAAAAGATCACTCAATGAGTGAAATGGTATAAGTACCCCTGCACCAGGACACGCAACAGCAAGCATCTTCCACGGGAAAGAAGAAATATTTTTGCACCGCCCGACAGAAACTGAAAATCAAAGATCCCTCCTTCCCCTAGTACCATCTACGGACGCAATTATAAGATAGAATAAAAAGGTTGTCATAAATAAAATATAGTTGAGCAGGTATTGTTTTCTTATTTTAGCTTGAGCTAGACTTGCAGCCGAGGGTGGTGCCGAGAGAGCTCTTGATAATGGAACCGATATCCATGGGAACAGTTTGGTTGTGAGCAGCCAGACCGTCAAGGAAATACTGGAGTGTCGCGTCATCGTTGCGAACGGCAGCGCCCTGGAGTTTGACGGGGATGACTCCAGTCTTGCAGTACTTGGGGCTTTGAACGGCATTGATGACCGCAAGTTGGTCGAGGTTGGCGCTAATAGGGACCTTGTTGCTGCCGGGCACAAGGAGGAGGTTGGGAATGGTGAGATTGCCAATGGTGGTGTCGTCGATGAAGTTGGTAAAGGTAGCGTTGCCCTGGAATAAAGTGTCAGCAAAATCATGCGGCTACTATACCAAAGAATGTTCGAGCCGAGTGCTCATGGATGCAACCTACAATATCAAGAGTGAAGTACGAAGCGTTGGGGATATCGGCAGTTGCGCTGAAGTTTGGCTGGCCCTTCTTGGCAGTGAGGGCGATCTTGCCGTTGGTGACAGTAGTGCCATTGAACAAGTTCAGGCCGTTCATGGTAATAGTCTTCTTAAAGGTAACGCCCCATTTCCTGGACAGGCCAGAAGGCTTGACCTTGGTGCGGCCCTCGACGGTGACACGGAGAGTCTGGTTGGCGGCAAACCAGATGTTGAAGGTGTTGAAGGCGTCGGGGTTCTGGATCTGAACCTCCTGGCTAATGTTGACCAGCTGGTGCTTGTTGCCGTTAGTGGCGGGGAAGGAGACGTTGAGGAAAGGCGTGTGATCAGGAAGATCCTCGAGATACATGACTCCCTCGAAGGGATCAATGTTTGCCTTGATGGAGCCATCAGTGGTGATGGTGGAGTTGATCTCTAGCAAAATGCTGTCGGGCTTGGCGTTGAGGACATTGACGCCCTGGATTTCCAGCTTGGCATCGTTAATCTTGCTCTGGGCAATCCGGGGAACACCAACGAAGATGCTAGATTACGTGTTAGTGGGACAGAACATTTAATTCCCATTCCTCCTTTTTGTCACGTCGACGCATTGTCGCGTCAATGGTTGTCCCAATGAAGACACTTACACTAAGCAGATAACTAGGACAGCTCCGCAGATGAAGAGGAGCAGATATGCCCACCAAAAGCGCTTCAGGTGACGAACAAATCCTCCCTTCTTCGTGGGCGCAGGCGCGGGCTGATAGACTCTGCTCTCGGTCTGAGTGACCTCGGCGTTATCGCTCTCTTGCTTGTCGGACATTTTGCTTTGCGTTTTCCCTCGCGTTTGAGCTCTTAACAGGCGGTTGTCGTATGTCGTGTGAAGAAAAGGAAAAAAAGGGGAGGAGCGAGAACCACTAGGGAATAGGTACCCCGAGCCTGTTCCGTCCTATGTTGAAAGATATAAGTGCCTTGCGCAGCGAGACCCTTCGTTCCAGTCGACGAAAAAAAGAGGCAAAAGTTGGACAATCACAAACTCTCTAGAGCCCTCATTAAACCTATCGAGGGCTTGGAGTCGGCGATAGCGGTGGTGGCGGCCGGTAGATGGATCGGGGGCGCTCACAAAACCTCCACGGCAAGAATGGAGGACAAGAGCAGGGCCGGGGTGCGACTACGAGCTCGAATTTGGCGATGGCGATGTTTAAGTAGCGACACAGAACACAGACATGGGAGCAGCGGAAGGGCAGAGACGAGCAGGGGCAAGATTGGCGCAGGGAGGGTCATGGGCCTGGTGGCTAGCTCACGGCTGTTGGCAGTTCTGGCGATGGCCTCCCCCAGACTTGGACAGCCGGCTGTTGCTGCTGTCTTTCTTTGAGTTACTGTTGCTAGTCTACTCGTGCGTCTTGTGATGTTCACACCCCCTCCCTCTTCCCCTCCGCTCTAAGCCGGTTGCGAGACACACTCGCACAGCGCCATCACGCATCATGAAGCAAAAGGCGTCCCGTAGAGAAAAGGTTCTCCCAGCGTCTTCCACGTTTGGTGCTAGTATGCCGGTCCCAAGCCTTCCAGCGTCCTCCAGCGTTACCCCCCCAGGCGTCGGTTGCCCACCCATGGCACAAGATCCGTTTTTTCTCTTCTTCTTCCCTGTTCATCTGCATCTAGCTCGAAGCCACTCACGGCCGCCAATCTCCACCATCCCCTGCAACAGTGCAGCGATTTGCAGCCAACTAGACTCGGTACACGAGACGCAGCGGGGAGGCAGCGCGCTATTCCCTACTGGGCACTCCCCCGAGACTGTTTTTTTTTTCCGCCCTAGTCGCAAGCCTCCCCGCAAAGGCACCCGATACATGCATGTACCGCTGCTGCAGTCAGAATTCAGCTGCTGATCGCTGTACCAGACCGGGTACCTTTGCGCCCAGCGCTGCAATCCGGGGCTCGGATAATCGCTGTAGCGCTCCTACAAGCTACCAAGTACCTACTGGATGTGGCACTACCGCTACTGTACCACTGCGCCACCACTCTCTCTTCCCCCCAGGAGCTTCCTCTACGGCCATCATTGTTTGATCGATGCCTGTGTGGCCCCCAAAATAACAGGAATGCCTACCAGCTGTGTGTGAGTACATGGATGTTCGTTTACCTGCCGGCCACTAACTCGAAGATCCCTCGGCTGCTTGTGAATCTTGGTAACACGTGAAAGTCGACGTCGACGCAGGAACCGGGCGATGGGAGGACGCACGAGAGAAGCCGTGATCGGATTTTCAGACGAACCGTGATCAACATGCTGGAGCACCAGCTACACAAGGAAATAGGCCGTATTACGCTGGGTTTGCAAAGCAAAGCAATTCCTTATCAGAGATCGTCCAATGATTGCATGGCAATTAGATGGGATGGGCTCGTTGTGATAAATTCTTCTTGCACGCGACCCTGCTCGCCCCGTCGAAGTCTAGCAACCTAGCAGTGGATGACTCCGCTTGACTCGGCTGTCAGTCTTGTTTGTCCTCGTACTGCCGCTCCAGCTGCTACAGCACGGTCCACGACGCACAGCATGATGCCAAACATCCCTGCCGGGCAATTGCCTTCCACTGGCTCTCTCACCTATTCTACAAGCGGGTTCAGAACGGCATCTTTTTGCTTGACAATCAATTTCAGTCAACTCTGGCACACGCCCAGTGGCAACCGCGAAAAGGGGCCTCAGACCGAACCAAGCTAGGTGAAAGGGCCGAGTAGGAGAAACATGGCCAATCTGCGCCATGAGAAGAGGACCGGCCTTAAGTTGCTCTCCTTGCGACCATGGCAAAGCGTCTCCACAGCTTCCCACACAACCTTAGCAAAGCCTGCAGGAGATGCTTCCTGACTGGGAACCGTTCCGGCGTGCCACCGGGCCGCACTTAAAGACGCCACCGCATCTCATCATCTCTCAAAATGCACTACGGACTAATTCTGTCAGAAGATCTCCATAACATGCGAGAAAGGAATAAAATACGAGTACAATTAAACCGAATAATAATACTCCGGCATGTCTGGGTTTGGAATCTCAAGCCAACACGCCTGGGCTCACTAGCAGAATCTTGCAGCCAGTGACTCAGACAAACAATTAAACAGAGCCTTGAGATAATAAGCACAATGCGGAAGTGAAAAGGAAAAAATTTGCAGACTGCTATACCTGCACTTGCAGGTAGTATTATTCGTGGTAACGTCTGATTTTAGCGTCTCGTCTCATCAAGACAGTTACACCGAACACACGATGATTACTACAGGGCTCATTGTCTGCCGGCCATTAGTACCTTATCTTGGACCTGGTCCCGGCTGATGCGATTCATGCAATGACAGGCGACCGTCTTGAGAAAATAGCAGCTCGCTAACACGATTGGCAGGACGGAAATAAAACACCCCCACCCTTCCATTTATGAGACACTTGTCATAACTGAAAGAAGGGGTCACAACTCCAATCATAGCCTCGACAGGTGAGGCAACTGGACAGCCCGTTTGATGAATCTTCCGTATGTCGGCACGATGCGACGAGTTTCAGCTTGAGAAGGCTTGTTTTGTCATCGGTACGGGAGGGAAATATAGCCCCATCGCATTTAGGATCTTATGACACACAGCCATCCACCTTGGAGCTCATCCAACAGCTATTTCGTTCTGGTACGGCTCCACACCATCAAAATTTGTCGGTAGACCCGGCGGCGTGGGCTTGGATGGCGCCGTTCAGCCAATCGCACACGGCCAATGGTTTCCAGATTCGTTTCCCAAGACTGGCCGCGGGTTGGTTCAAGTTGTCGAGATTTCGCCACAGCAAACGTAGTTGTTTGATGCCGGCAAGTGCACGATAGGTTGTCTTGTGGTGTGGCGTAGGCTGTTTACAGGTTACCCGTCTGTTCTCGCGTGGCACCATGTGCATCATCGGAAGTCCGGATATACAGGCATTTGTCGTCCGAAGAACAGACGTTTTCTTACATACATGCACTTGCACGAGTTCTAGACGCGTCTACGAGGATGTGGCAGCAGCTATTTCTTGGCACCTAGGAGTGCGCCTGTGCTCGTCCGTTTAAGTGTTGGCCGCGTCTCTGTACTAGACATGGCCATGGCGCTTCGTATCTGCTGCAGCCGCCATGCTGTCGAAACTTGTTTGCACACACGAAAAGAGACATGGGGGGAAGCTCAAGAGAATCGGCGCACCCGCTGAACCGAAGAGACATTACGTTATTGACAGCTTCCGAACCAATCCTATTCTTTGAGCTGAAAGACCCTAGACATTTGCTCACGCATCCCATTGAGGTTTGTGTGTTGCAGTACGGAGACTATCGTGTGATCCTTGCCAGATTCAGCTGCAGCACATGCTCATTTTGGCTTCTTGCCATACACACTGAGGCATTCTTGTACCACACCAAAGCCGTTTACATTGACGCATTACTACAGTAGCCCAACCATTCCTAGGGCGCCCTCTTTTAGAAACCTCGTCTTCTTGTTACAACGCAGCTAACCATCCGTGCCCAAGGGCGTCTTTGCACGAGTGCGGTGTCAGAAGTGGTTTAGTATAGGATTATGGGATTCCTTCTATTTCTGCGCCCAAACCTTGGCGTTCAAAGTTGCTGAGGTTTTTTATTAGAACACGGGACAAGTGGATTTCAGGTCATTGATATCTGTACTCCCTGAAGGTAAGTTCATTAACAATAGCTGCATATGCTAACGCATGATTATCAGGCAGGGGCATCGTGAGGAAACTAACAAGACAAGTGAGCCCTTCTCGTCATTGCTGTTGATCCTGATCACCGCAACAAATGACGGTGAACGCATTAGCATTATGAGCTAGCTAAGCTGGCACACACATGTTGGTATTCTCTCTTGTCTCTCAAGCACATCTGTAACAACGTGGACGATCATTGCATGAATATATTTGCAACCCAATCATTCTACCAGGCTAAACCGTTCCGCCTGGATGCATATGTCACTCGCTTGCTGTCCGTCTCTTCTAGCCAAGCAACTTGGCAACGCTACATGTACCTACCCCAGACCCCAGACTGTCTTTGAGATGACCATCTCGCAATCTTCCCCCAGCTTTGATCGTTCACAGCTGCAGAACGCTAGTGGTTGTGCTACCCACTCCCCACCAACCCCGCCGTCGGCTCGTGTGTGCCATCATCACGAGCTGCCGAGGATGCATATGAAGATTCCCTCACAACTTGGGCTTCACCCACAGCCCCTGCCGGTCCAGCTCCGCATCTCCGTCGAAAATATCTCTCTCCACACGGCGAGTGTTGATCTGGGGCCCCAAACGTTAGCTACTGCTACCAAAGATCGCCAGATTCAAATCCTGGGGGCGGCATTTTCGTCTTGTCTAGCCTCCGGACTCGCAATCCGGGGGAGAGCGGGGATGGGCACTTACAAATCTTGGGCCGAGCTCTTGTATGTTTTTCACTCCGAGGAGTCTCATGCATGTGGAAGTCTCCGCCTCGAGAACTATTCAGGGCCGAAATCGCCCGAGTCGTTAGAAAATCTCTTCTTGATATTTTCTCAAGCATGACGTGAAGAGAGGGGAAAGATGCACAAAGATAAGCATGGGCCATGATGACATGGTTCGTCCCGGAGCAGTATTGCCGAAGGATATCAAATCACATCATCATCACTGGTACGGCAAACGCGGTAGGTTCTTCATGGTGGCAAGAACATTGAAATCACAGCTGCACTGGGTCGGAATTTTGGGGATCAACTCACTTTCAAGCGTTCGCTCCACGCCAGCTGCACCTCCAGCACCGAGTCCAAACAAGGCAGCACGGCCAATGCCCACTGCTTTGGCACCCAGGCAGAGTGCCTTGACAACATCTGTGCCTCTCTTAATGCCGCCGTCGACCCAGACCTCGATCTTATCAAACACTTCGGGGCAATACTTTCTGATTTCAAGCAAAACGTGAACCGGGGGAGACGCCGTATCCAGTGCTCGCCCACCGTGGTTCGAGAGGATAATGGCCTTGACCTGCGGCGCATACTTGGCAGCAAGGTAAGCGTCCTCGTATGTGTGAATACCCTTTAGCACGATTGGCAGATCCGTGTGCTTTGCCAGCCACGGCAGCGTTGTCTGCCATGTCAGGTCGCTGGCCGTGCCGAAGAATAGCTGCTGGCCGACACCACCGCCGCCAGGAAGCTTCTCCTGACCACCCTTGACGCCAGGCTCGACTACAAAACCTTTGTCGAGGTTGGACTTTTCATCAATCTCGCGCTTGCCAGGTACGGGGGCGTCCAGTGTCAAAACGACACATTTGTATCGGTCTTTCATCTTATTAATGCGTCTCAGCATCTCTTCGCTTCGGTCACGACGGTTCTGCACATATAGCTGCCACCCAAACACCTGGCCTGGCTTTGCCTCGGAGGCAATCTCCTCCGGCGTCATTGAGGAGTTGTTGGAGATGAGCTGCATGGCACCGAACTTTCCCGCCGCCCTGGCGATACCAAGCTCGCCGTCTGGATGAGCTAACCTGGCCATGGCAGCCGGGCTGACATATATGGGGAGGCCAACCTTGTGGCCAAGGAGAGTTGTCGACATGTCGCATTGTGTGCAGTCGACGAAGACGCGCGGCCGTAGAAGAATGTCTCGATATACTGTAGTGTTGAATGTTTTGGTGACCATGTCGTCACCGGCAGAGTAGTAGTACGCCCATGCCTTTTTCGAGATTCGCTTGGTGGCCTCTGCTTCGATCTCGTCGAGATTCAGAAGCGTCTCGAGGGGCGCTGGGGCATCATCGTTCTTCTTGACTGGAACTGGCTTTGCCTCAATCAATGTCTTGGGATCGACCGTTCCCAGCTTGGCCTCTGGCTTGAGCTCGTCCAGCGTGCCTGACGGGTGAATGGGATCAAAGTCCTCGGTGGCATCCTTGCCGGCCAATTGGAGAATCACTTTTGCGCCGCCCGGGTGTGAGGAGAGGAAGTCGGTCACGTCGTACACCTGGCCGTAGAGGATGACCCAACAGCTGTCGGCGGTGTTGTGTTTCGCGACTGCAGCCAGCCAATTAGTACCCAAGGACGGCAGAAGCAGCGGCCAACGACGGGAACATACCTTCAGCAGCATCGAATACCTTGGCCATGGTGTATGTAGTCTTTTTGCTGTTGGTTCTTCTCTCGTCTATGGAGGAATTGGAGTTGGCATGGGACTTCTTTTTTTCGCGAGCTCGACCGGTAGTTCTATCGCCCTCTATTAAATGATGGGCGTTCGCCCGCCGAGTTCGCCCAGCGGATCCTGCTGTATGGCTATCGAGGACTGCGGGTGGAGTTTGGCTTCGTGTGGGGGAGGGAGCTATTCGCGCCCCTGGATGAATCTTCCCACCAATGACGACTGCGCTTTCGGTAATACTAAGTGTGCTTGGTTGGCTATAGTCGGATGCGATTTCCTGGTTTCGTACAGCTCATGCTACCCTATACAGGAGCATTTTGATCTACGATTCGACGATTTGTTGCTCTATTCAGACAAGCAATGTAAGTAACAATTGGTCTTTGCTTTGATACATATTCACAAGACAATTGACAGCAACCTATGATCAAGCAAGAGATGACGAGTGGCATATCATGTCGTCAAACTAATTGAGGGTTGGCTTATGGCGCAACTCCTCGATTACTCCCGTCTACTTCCCGTTGGAGTAATTTCAACGATTAGCTTTTGTCCGGCATTTATCCGTCCCTGACCCGATCCGGAAACCATCGGGCCCCGGTTTCGGGGCTCCTAACAAAAAGAAAGAAAAGCAGAAGAGCGGAATTTCGCTAAGCCGACGGGGCAAAGATGGCCGAATCAGAGAAACGCATTGCGGCGACTGCGGCCAACTTTGCCCCCCACGTTTTCTTTGATTCCGGGCTTATCGGTTTAGCCAGCGTTTAGCCGAATGTTTCCTATCGCAGGCTACGTCTTTTCTTTGCTTTGCTTCTTTTGGTGACCTCATAGCTCGCCTCTGCCGGAATATCTCCGTGCCAAAGCAAAATACCGACCGAACAAGCAAAATCCCGAGCTACACACTGGTTTCGAATTAAAAAAAAAGTAAACCCGTCTACGACAAACTTGCAGCGATAAACACATGCACACGTTTCTTGAAGCTGTAGTGCCACGTTACTTCAGTCCAACGAAGAGAGACTAGACCGGGTTACCTGTTATTCTTTTCGGCTGATTTGCATCTCTTATCATTGTTTACAAGCTTCATACATAAGCAACGGAATTCATGCGCTCGACAGTTTCCGCGGCAAAGACCTTCAGAGCCGTGGCTCGGCCATGCGCACGATGCCGTCTCCAAGCGTCACGATCCATGTCCACGGCGACGAAGCCCAACCCCGCGCCGCATAGCACCGCATCATTACAAGTCGGCAGTTCGAGAGCAAGAGCATTGCCGCAGCAGCAGCGATACTCCAGCGTCGCATTCTTCTCAACCAGCGCCGCCGCATCCGAACCCTCGGCAGCATCAGCATCAGCGTCAGCCTCTTCCTCGGAAGAACAACAACAAGCCCCATCACCAGCGCCGTTGACGCACTACGACATCTTCCCCGAGACGCTGCCCCTCGGCCCCCCTCCCTCGGGCCACTTCCCCATCGACACGCGCGCCCTCCGCCGCGAGTTCCTGCGCCTCCAGGCCCGCCACCACCCGGACATGCACCCTCCCGGCCCGGCCAAGGCCCGCGCGGAGGCCACCTCGGCGCTCATCAACGACGCCTACAAGACGCTCGCCAACCCGCTCCTGCGCGCGCAGTACCTCCTTTCCCTGCGCGGCGTCGACGTCGCCACCGACGAGACCATGCAAGTTGATGATCCGAGCTTGTTGGCCGTCGTGCTGGAGGCGCACGAAGAGATCTCGGACGCGGATAAGGAGGAGGATCTCGCTGAGTTGAGGGCGGTGAATGATAAGCGGATTGGGGAGAGCGAGGGGGTTTTGGAGGAGGCGTTTCGGGAGGACGATGTGGCCGCGGCGAAGAGGGAGGCTGTCAAGTTACGGTATTGGGTGAATATTAAGCAGAGCTTGGATAATTGGGAAGAAGGCCGGCCGGTGGTGCTGCAGCATTGATCGATTTGATATCTGGATGGGGTGTGTGCTTTTTTTTTGCGTATATATTTCCATTTTTGTTCAAACGTTTCATGTGGACTTGCATTGGGAGAAAAGAGAGGAAGGACATTCATCTAAAGGAGGACAATTTAGACAGGGAGAACGATAGACCATGTATCAACAACATACTCAACTCATGTTGACACCGTCGAAGCAAAAATACTCATTGAATACTACATAGGTATAGTAGAACAATAAGAAGAAGAAAGATATTACACTTTGTCGAATTGACTCGTCCATTCATGTGTCATATATTCGCACACAGATTCCTCACCACTACTTAACAAACGATATAAAAAAAGAGGTCGGCAAATATACATGTGTATATATAAATATATATATAAGAAGCAGTCATTCCTAAGTACAAAAGAGTGACGCCGTGGCAAATGGCACACCCTGTATATATTCCCTCCATCCCTATCTGCACCCAACGCCAGTCATGCATGCTCTGTAACGCGGACATTTATATAATAAGAAAAAAAAAGACATGAAAAAAAGTTAAAAGACATATGCGTCTTTGATTGCACACACATATTCTGCATGCCCAACATTACCGCCGGTACGCGGGTAACTGCTCTCCATCATCGTTGTCGTGTCTCCTATGTGCACTTGTGCTCCCTGATGATGTTGCATTGGCATTATACCCCGGATAATCATCCTCATCTTCAACCATCGTGGGCGCAGTTGGTTCAGCATCAGCCGTCAAGTCATCTTCCCTAGGGGCTCGACCGGGTCCGCCGCCTCGATCCATGTCCTCAGGGAATTCAGGGGGAGCGCTGGCTTCTTGCATCAGCCGTCTCCGCTCACGCTCCTGTTTATCCTCGCCGGCGTCCATCGGACCGTTGACGGCGGCTGTGAGCTCTTCTTCTGTCGGAGCGGAGGGGCCAATGTTGTCCTCTTCCCCTGAATTGCCTGCATATGGTGGTCGTGGTGTGGCTTGAGCATCGTAAATGTCGTCTTCATCAGGCGAAGATGGTCCGGCTTGCGGACGACTGGGCAGCAGTCTTTGTTCTGCCTGTCGTATGCGATCCTTCTCCGTCAAATTTCTTGGATCAGGCATCTGAGGAGGGGGTGGTGTATATGATGGTGCAAGGTCGTGATTGCTTGTTGGCGGATAACTCGGATGAGAAGGATGAGGAGAGCGAGTAGGGGAGTAGGATGGACGTTGATGGTTTGTGGGTGGAGGAAAGTATTCTTGTGGTGGTGGCCCATGGGGTTGCGGATTATTGCGGTCGATTTCTTCGTATCGAGTCGGGGTTGGGACAAAGCCCATCTCGTCGTCGCTCTCCGCATTGTCGAGCGTTTTCGACGACGAGGACACCTTGACGAGCCTCCGCTGTCCTGATGAGTCCACTGTGCCGACAATGGACTCGATCGTCACGCAAACAACGCCCTTTTGCCTTCTAAGCGGAGCCGTGTCGATGATTTCTATCTGAGCCCCCCTCCTCTGTGAAAACATGCTTATAGTCTGATCTGTGGCGCTGCTGCTAAATGCGCCGAATCTCGAAGTCTTTCGGGATGGGAAGTGACCAGATAGCCTTCCGCCCAAATCGACAATGACTTCTACCTGGTACTTGAAGGAGATCATATCTCCAGGTACTCCCTTGATGGTCGGGAACGAGTCATCAGGGAGTTTGACTGGCACCGTGACCGACGCCTGCATGGTTTCCGGGTCGATGATGAGCGGTGCCGTTGTCTGGTCAAGGTCTTTGCGAAATACGCTGATGGAGCCGGCGGAAGACAGTGACAGGCCGCCTAACCCCGTTCGTGACCTGGGGTATATATCCTCTCTCTGTATTCGACGAGCGTCCTCCTTGGTCATCATGTCCTTGAACAGCTGTGACGGAGGCGAGGTATCGATTTTTCCCTGGCGGAAAAGCGTTACAATGACACCAGTCATGCTCTTGACCTGCTTAATATGCTGCACCGTAACTCGCACCGACACGGCGTCACCCGGCAAGCAACCGCCCCTGAGAAGCTCAATGCTGGCGGTAATAGTCTTGTCGTTGACAGCTTGCTGCTGTGCTGACATGAAGGCACTGGTGCCAACCTGTGATAGCTGAGTCATGTCGCTCCGACTCATGGCGGTGCTGATGCTGCGGCCGCTCTCGCCGCTGACCTCGCTTTGGACATCGCTCAAGGCGGCCGCTCCTCGGCGTTCACTTTGCTGGTCGCCAAGGGGATTCTCACGCGCGGCGGTATCCTCGGAAGGGGTCGAGATTGGTTCTCCTGCGTCGGGCTCAGGTACTACATCGACTGGCTCAGGGGTAGCAAGAGAGCTCTTGTCCAGTGCCATTGATGACTTCTTCTTTCTCGTCTTCTTGGATATAGGTTCAAGAAAGATTGTCCTCGGTGGCGGCGGTGGCAGGAGGCCTACGTCTATCCTCTCGGCCAGCATAACTTTTCTTTCACATGTCGTTGTCGCCGCCATGGATAGGGGGCGTGTTAGAGTTGCCGTGGCCATGTAGGATACGGTTCCGCGCTCGAACTAGATTGGGATACAAGTGACGTTAGCAACTGCTCTTGATAGTTGATGCCCCTTATGCGTATACATGTACACGCCAAGGCTTCAGGCGCGGACTATGTGATCGGAAACTCACGTCAATGCTACTTGGCAGTCCCTTGTCGGGGAACACCAAGTCGAAACCGAATTCGTATCTGCCGGGATCAAGCCTGCCCTCGCCGCTCAGCACCTGCTCGTCCTGAAAGAGGCTTGCGAAGCCGTTGCCATGATACTGCGGGCGCGAGGAGCTTCCTCCCTGCGGCAGCGTAGTGATGTTGCGGACCTTGGCAGCGCCGGCGGGATCCCTCAGCACGCGCACGAAGCCGTGCAGCGTAACGACCAGGTGGGTGATGCGCACCGGCTTGACGACGACCAGGACGACAGAGCCGTGGACGTGGTCGCCGGCGGCATATTTCCGATGAGGCTCGTCGCAGCGTACATGGAAGTCGGTCACGCTGCGGTTGCGGTTGCGCAGGGGGAGAGGCAGAGGCAGATTGAGGGAGCTGCCCAGGCGCGCCAGTAAGCCGGGGCGCGATCCGGATGTGGAGGAAGACGTAGACGAAGGAGCAGTCGTGGGGACGGGAGTATGCGTGAGGCCAGGCGTAGATGTTGAGGCAGACGTGGAGGGCGTATTCGATGTTCTTGTGGATGGGGATGCTGCTGCTGCAGGGATCGACGACCGAGGCGGCTGGCTGTCGGCAGCAGCGGCAGGGGCCGAGGAGGGCGATGCTGGTGTCGGCGATGGTGAGGAGGGCGAAGACGGCGTGCTCTCTCTGTCTCTGGTGTCTCTTGCTGCGGTCGAGGCGCCAGGGAGCGCTGGCAACGACACGGACGCCGAGGCCGACGATGTCGACACGCCGCCGCTGCCCCGAGATGCTGGCATGGGCGTGGCAAGGCGGGCTCGAGCGGTCGCCGGTCGCTGCAACGGCCGTAGGGACGCTGTGGCTGGATCGTGTGTTGTCGTCGCTATCGCCGTGGGAGCCGCAGATTGGTAGGTGAGTTTCGTAGATCGTGGCTCGTAGGTCGTGGCTCGTGGTCTGGCGCTTCGGAGTCCCCAAATCGACAGCGTTTCCCGAATCGGACCAAAAAAAGAAAGAGCAGAGAGAGACAATAAAAAAAGACAATGAACAAGAAAAGGGAAAAAGTAAAAGGAAAAAAAAGAAGAGAGAGAAAACCCCCAAAAGCTAGACCCGGCGCCGGTGGGATTTATTATCTCCCTACTTCTCCCTCTCGCTCTCTCTCGTTCGTTCTGCAGATGAAACAGAAAATACACACCCCAATAATTCCTACCTAGTAATATTAAACTGCACAGCAGCCTTGCTCCAGCGAGCGGCAGACCGGCACGGTGGAGGGGGGCCAGAGGTGTTGAAAGAGGCAAAGTTCGGCAAGCCGCGCTGGTTGCGTCGCTGCGAGGCTAGCAGCACCAAACATTCCTAACTGGAGGATGACGACGCTTTATTTAAAAAAAGGAATGGGAGGAACAAGCAAAGGAAAGAAAGAAAGAAAGAAATGGACAGACACGCAAAGAGAAGGAGAAACGATATTAAATTGCACAACACAGACACAGACAGAGTCACAGTCACAGACAAGACGCAAAGGAGATCGAAAAAGGGCACGCTCGCAGCAGCCGATTATCCTGCCTGTTTCGGTTGGCGCATCTCAGTTGGGGATTTGCCAAATGCACATGCACCCGCTTTGGCCAAGTTGCAGCAAGGCGGCGGTGCTTGTACCAATTGGGCCGTCCGAGTGCTGCCACAACGCAGCCGAAAAAGAAGCCACCGAGTCGCCTATCCTGATCCTGATTCCTGATCCTTGCATCGAATAGGACAATCGTATTTGATAGAGCCTTTGCTCTAATACTGTGTACTGTACGGATAAGCTGGAAGCGTATTGACTTAGGCCATCTTACTGTACCATTGATTACTTATACCGCCATCTATAAGCTGGAACTTCCAAGCCTTCCAAGATTCCACACCTGTACCTATCTAGCATTTCCCCCTCAAAATCAGCTAAAATCGATACCCCTGGACCCTTCTGCGTGCCCCCCTCCAGGCACACCGGTTACTAGGCACTACTAGCACCGATGGAGCTCATCTACTTCAGACCTGACCTGTTGTTTCGTTTCGTCAAATCCAACCCTCAAAAAACCTCTTCTCATCAGCCCATCCTTCAAAGCTTGGGCCATAACAAAAAAAACAAGCTCCCCTCCCCTCCCACCCCTTCCCCGTGTTTCTTTCCCCGGGTGCTTCGGAGGGATTTTTTCTAGGCACCCGGCACTTGACAGAGCCAAGAAAAAAGCTTGGTTGCGCTGCAAGCTGCCGTTTCAGCCATCAAATCCCATACTGTACATACATACACTTACAGTGATATACTCGTAATACTACATTGGATGCCTCTTACAAGCTTTGATTCCCGCCCTTTCTGTTTGGTGCCGCCGGTCCGGTCAATCCGGGCTGTTGATGGCACGAAAGCTGCGGGGGCCCCTTTGCACGTTGGATGTCGGAACCTCTATTTCCGTTGCTCTACAAGCAAGTACCTGCGCCCGCACATCTGCTACGGCAATATACATCGAATGGAATGGATGCTTTGGCGATGCACCTGGCATGGGGAGTCTAGGCCTTTCCAGCCCATCACCGATCCCTGTCCTCTGTCATCAGCGCTTGGTAGAACCCCAAATAGCACGCCGTGAAAGCACCGACCAAATGCAGGTAATATTGAATACTGGGGCAACAGAATGGTAGCCTGCTTGTATTACTGTACGACCACAAACAGCTGATTCGAGTTGATCCCGTCCAAACCATGCCATGGCTTCTTTATAGGTACAGTAGATACTAACATCGATTCGACTTCACACAGGGCTATGGGAGAACACTGGATCTAGTTGATTTTCTTATGTTTAACTGTGCCATTGTCTATCTGCTCTTTTTGATGTACCGAGTAATGCACTCTCGAATCGTCCATGCTCATCACGCTATGTATGCTCGCCCTTATGAAATACTATTACAACAACTTGCTAGTTGTGCCCAATGCTCAAACAAAATTCGAACCAGTTTCAAACGCCAATCAATGCTGGCAATCGCCATACAGTAATTCCAAATCAAGCCCCATGTACGCCAAACCCAATGCCTCGCAAACAGAATATATACTTTGTACACCGACTCTTCTCATTTGCGTTTAATCCAACGCCTCGCCTGACAGAATGCTCCTCAAAATGTCGGCACCAACTCCCTCGGCTATCGTCTCAATCTCCTTGTCTCCGACGCAACTGGCAATTCGCCTTTCATCACCACTGGCAGCCGCCACTTTTCGACCTCGTTTGCTGGGTGTCTGTGGCGTTACGAAGCTGCCCGTCTTTCCTTCCACTGCATTGACAAGCCCGAGGGTCTCAAGGCTGCCCACCACTTCACGGAACTCGGAGCTCGACAAGGGATGAAGCACCGAATCACGAAGGCACAGCTTGCAGTACTTGTCAAAAAGCACCTTGATCGTGGGTGCCAGCGTCTGCGTCTTGCTGGGGGTAAGAGGCGCACTAGGCGCCTTGACCATCGTTCGAATATGGTTCTCATAGGCCACCAATGAACACAAGGCGGCCTTCTGCTGAAGGTTGAGGGCCTTGAGACGCTGGGCAGTTCCATTGCTGAAGGCTGCAGCAGTGACCTTGTTTAGGTGGCCAATTGAAGCTCGTGGAGCAGTCTCTGCGGTCAATGCCTTGAGAGAAGCCGTCGTAATCGAGTACACACTGCGGCTAGTCCCGCCCGTCGAGTTACCGTTGCTGATGTTCTCTCCAAGAGGCTTCTTGGTAGGTGTCAATTGCAGAAACTTTTCCCGTGCTGCCTCCTCGTGCTTTGATCTGGTCTCGGCTTCGACTAGATCCAGAGCTCGACGACATATCTCAAATGCTTTGCGTAAATCTCCAGTCTGGCTTGAAACCTTGCGAGAACAGAGCTCGATGGCAGCGGGGTGAATGAACGGGACATAGGCTTCCTTTCCCTCAGGCATCAGTGATTTCAATCGAGTGATAATGATGTTCTTGACCTGGGCCGCGGTGTATGGTAGGAAGGGAAGTAGCTCCGGCTTAAGATTCTTCGATTTCAGTCGTGGCAGAAATCGGTCTGTAAGATCCAGAGCATTGGCGATACCAAGGAGCATAAGCCTGGAGGACTTTGCCAGAGACCATTCAAACACCCGGTACAAGCTTTCCAGATCCAATGTAAGAATGTGATCAATCTCATCAAGGGTGACGAGATAGGTGGTTGATGACTTGGTCTTGGAAGAGAACATTTTCTGCAGGGTTGAGATAGCCTCTGCTTCTGTCAGATCGCTGCTGTCTTCATCGAGAGCAGCAAGTAGTGTGTGATAAAGATCCTTTGACGACTTGATGCTCATGCAGTTGACGTATGCACTGCGAACTCCATCCTTCTCGGAATACGTCTTTGTCATGTTGGTGATCATGGCGCTCTTTCCGGTACCGGGGGGCCCGCTGATATAGATGCATCCTCCGGGAGATGATGTCGAAAGACGATCCAGGAATGCCGTCAACTGCTCCCGCTCAGCTTCCCTCCCTACCAGCTGGCCAGGCTCAGCCCCTCTGGCAAATAGTTGTCGAGCCTGATGGTACACGGTCTGGATAGTGGTGGGCGTGAGCGGTGTCTGGGGTGTCATTCGCTTGAACAGCTTGCCCGCCGACATGACGGCATGTCGAGGAGTGCTGGGATAAGAGCCAAATGCATCTCGGTGCCGAGGAGTGGAGGGTGTCACGGGGTTGGGTTTTGACGGGGTCTGGGACAGGCGCCGATGCCTCGGTGCTGGCAGCTCCTTGAGCTCGCCTTCAGCCTCGTCGTTCTCATCGTTTCCAGTGACATCAAAATCGGGGTCTTGGTTCTCATCGTTGAATGAGGTGTCCACCAGCCGGCATCGACGAAGTCTTTTGCTGGGAGTCTCTTGTAGGACTGAAGAAAGATGCAAGTTAGCATCCGAAAAGACAAGCTTGAATGATACCTTAAGGATAGGAAGTTGCATGGTGGCAGTGGGACCTACCAGAGTCCAAGTCCAAAGCACTGCGCGTCCTCTTTCTCAGCTGGGAAGAAGGAGCCATTGCAGCTGCTGATAGAAGACTAAGAGGTATAAAAACTAGAGTGCTCCTTCCAACAATGTCGTGATGGCAACAGTTATTGCAAGTACAACAGAGTCAAGAGAAGGAGGAGCCTAGATAGTTGCAGTCGCGGTTGCGGTTGCAGATGCAGATGCAGTTGCAGGTTAGGAAGAAATTGCAGGTGCGAGTGTAATTGAGAGAAAAGCTGGAGCCGTGCCTGCCCCATGTCTGGAAAAAGGGCGGTTTTGGCGTTGAACCAGGGGGGGTGTTTTACAGCCGCGAGGGAAGGCGCGTGGGTGCGCGTTAGATCGCGTTTAGCACCAGGACGCGAGAGTGTCCCGTTAATAGGGCGGGCCGTGCAGCGGGTTTCAGCCACTAACAGCCCGGCACTACAAGGCGCAAACAAGCTCTGCAGCACGCGTTTTAGTGGACAGTCTCATGTTTGCGTTTGCGCAGTGAATGCATGCATGCAATCATTTGATGCGTGTTATTATCCTAGCGCTGACAAGCTGAGCGACTTCCTAGGAAGTCGGACGTTGATAAGAATCCGCGGGCATATAAAACGAAATGGCTGCACCCTCACAGTTAAGACATCAATTTATATTGATTGTCTCCATATTGAAGAAGACAAATTGTTTTACTTTTAAAGGCCCGCAGCATGCAATTAACAGCGAGCTGAATCAAGTTGCAAGTTGGGTCTTGTACATCTCATTCCAGGCACAAATGCTCTTTTCATTCTGTACGAGCAAGCATCTACAAGGCTACACTGAATCATATCCGTCCCTAATTAACCATATCTGCAACACCTCCCTTTTCAATTAATCCCGCTGTGCTGTCTTTGAAGAATCGCACATGTGCTATTAAGTACCAATTGGACAGGCAAAATTAGCTCCTCTTCAGCCCAAATCTCCAAATGCTCCATCCCTCCCAGATCCCCGATCCCCCCTCCCGGACCCAGCCCAGCCAATCGGCACATTGCGTCATACATCGCCAGGGCGATCCCTCTTCATATGAATGCCACAACGCCCTTTCAATCCCATCACATCCCTCTCCCTAGAATCCTCATCCAACCTCTAATTTGCACACACATTTTCTACTACTGCACAGAAAAAATGACTACGTATATCCCCTCCCTCACATTGCCTTCGGCCGTGTTCGAGAATCCGGCCTCCTCGATTCTCCTCCCCATTGCACTGGGCACTGCCGTTGGCTTCGGCACCCGACGTAAGAAGAAATCCACCTCGATAAATATTCTGCAATGTAGAAAACTTGAGCTAAACGCTGACCCCAAAAATGAAACAGCTTCCAAGACGCAAAAGACATATCTAGCCTTGAAGCAACCTCCTTTAAATCCCCCACCATGGGTGTTCGGGCCCGTCTGGACAGCCCTTTACGGGTATTTCTCCTCCCGCAAAACCACCATGAAACCAACCCTCCAAAAATCTTGAACCTCGCATCTCTTGAATTTTCTTGACTGACTTGCTGTACTTACAAGACTCATGGGATATGCCGCCTACCGCGCCACTAGCATCGGCCTCGCCCCATTGTCCACGCCACAGACCATCCAGACAACAAAGCATAGCATGACCATTTACACCGTCCAACTTGGCCTTAATCTCGCCTGGATGCCGCTCTTCTTCGTCGCCAAGCGCCCAGTTGAAGCTACCGTTGATATCGTTGCCCTGCTGGGCCTCAATGGCTATCTGGCCTATCTGTGGGGATCCGTGGATTCTCTTACGGGCTGGTGCCAGGCTCCTTACTTGGCATGGCTGAGCTTTGCGACATACTTGAGTTATGGAGCGGGATACCTGAACGATTGGAATCTGGAAGACGCAGAGACTGCCATAGAGGACGAGAAGCAGTAAAGCCAACTTGAAAAGGTTGGCAGCCAGACAGTTAATCTTAGTTGTCATATCACGATACCATATGGAATCACGGTAGATAGCTGTAATTGCAAATAGCAGCGATATTCACATTATCTATCGCTAGATCAACTGCCAGTAATGTCTATCACGACTCCTTGTCCTTATAAGACCCAAATCCCCCCTTTTTAGTGCGCGACACCGGACCTTTAAAAGCAGAAGAAACAAAAAGAAACGCTGTTGCGATGCCCCTTTAAACTTTGCGAACCGACCATATAAAAATGTTTTCGCCATGCCAATGACTGGAAAACAATGAAGAATATTAGAAGAAAAGAACTAAAAAGACGGGCAGCCGGATGCCCAGGCAAGCTTATTGCATGGGGACATGGCGCTTTAGCCCGTCATATACAATGAAAATGAATGCAGAGCTGGGCGCTGCCCTGGCGCAGGTGACGCCACAGCCGCGATACAGACCTCGCAGTCCGTGGTGCCTCCATATGGCCCTGCCTTCGCTCCAAAAGTCGCGGCGTTGTTGGACACCACCCACGGGCGATGTTTGCATGCGCGACTTGATGGTATCGGCAGGGAAGAACAGAAAGTTGTAGGAAACGCCCCCCGATGCGCCGGCAATGGCCTGTTGCCAAAGAGGAAGCGGTTTCGAACGAATAGCCTCCTTCTCTGCCTCAGAGGTGGCAGATCGCATCCGCAATTTGTAGAATGCCTTTGTGGCTGTCTCTTTGGCCCCGAACCAGGCCGAGCAGCCACCAGCTTCCCGGATCAGAGTACCAAGCTGGCCGTGCCAAAAGCCTCTGATGCCCTCATGCCGATAGACCTCACGGATCACAGCTGTAGGCCGTAGAGGGGCAACTGGCGCTCCCTCAGACAGGGCTGGCGCCTGAATCCTGCATTTGACAAGTTCAATCGGCGTCAGGACAAAGGACGTGAACACTCCAGATATGGCGCCGGTAAGCCACAACAAGGGCAATGTCATTTCCTTGTCACGAGAAGCCACGCTGCTCCTGTACAGAAGCTCTCGCCCTACGCTTTCAAACAGAAAGAGGCTGCTAGTTTCTGCGGCCGCGCCAAACAGAGGGGCACTGATTCCCCTGTATAGCCCGCGAAGGCCATCGGATTTGATAGATTGTCGGAAGCAGTCCAAGGGGCCGGTGTACCGCAGTGGTAGGTGGTCGGGCTGGCTCTGGAGTCGGACCTTGACGGTGTCGAAGGGATATTCGATGTATTTGCCCGCAATACCGGCAACCTGCAACTCAGCCCATCAGCTTCTCCTTCGCATCTCAACATCACCAAGTCTTTGGGTGCAACTTACCGATCCATAGATGATGTCTTCGACAGCCTCCATAGTCGCAGTTCGGCTTTTGCGTTGGAATGCCAACTCAGGCTGGGCAGCAACTGAGGTGGTCATATCGAGGGTGGCCTGGGCCATTCCGGAGATGGTTCGGGGGTTGGAGAGGGAAAGAGTAAAACAGCAGATGCTTTTTCTTTTCTCTCCTCTCAGCGCACTTCTTTCAAAGTCCCTAGCTTTGCCCCCTCTCCTGTGGGAGCGGGGGTTGAAAGCAGGTTTTGAAAGAATACGGCGAGCAGGCAGAAGCTGGGCAAAACTGCAAAAAGGGCGAGTCCTCCTGAGACGAGGCGGAAAGCGACGAGGTTCGGAGGCGCAAAAAGAAAGGATGCCCAAAAAGCTTTAAATTTAAGGCGACAGGATTCCGTGTGGGGGACCTTTGAGCTCGCAATGCTAATGCTGGCAACCAAGAGCCCACACCGACTTCGCCCTACTGTACGTTTGGTATGCAGAAGCAAACAAGGGTTGCGCAGCCAGAGTGACACAAAGGAGACGTGGGCGGAGTTTGTCCCAGTCTAGAGCGAGTCGCGGGATTTTATCTTCTTTGTCGTGCTTGCAGCAGAGAGATCAGACTTGGGAGAAGGTGAAAGAAACAAGACAAGGATTCGGCCCTACATTGTATAAAGTAGAGAGGCGTGGCTCAGCTGCATGGAGACATGGAGAAATGGCACAAATTCCCGTCGAGGCTATCCCACTTGCTGTGACTCCCAAGAGGCGTGACTGTAAAAAATTCAATCTTATCGACGCTTATCGATAGGATGCGAGGGGTCGGCAATTGGCTGGCATTGGCTGTTCTGATTCGTGTGCCTGCCGAGATCGGTTACGAGCATTCACACCCCGGCACTTGCATGTGCCTGCGTGTGCTTTTTTTTCTTCTCATTTTTCACTTTTCGTTTTTTTCTGGGTACGGTATGGAGTACCTGTGCCATGGATGTACTAACATCTGGAGTCTTTCAGGGGGGCTTCTTTGCTTAGGTAGTTCTCTGCAAACCTACAGCTGTCATAAGGCTTGCGCCGTAGCTGTCAGAAATGTAGAGTGAGTATAAGAGAGTTTTAGGTGAATCCTTACAAAAACAGTCTATTTTGCGTACACCATGCTTCGATCCAACAGCACAAAGGAGAGACTCTGAAGCATCCTTACTTGTACTCTTCGTGTATCCAAGACAACCTCCGGGGACCAAGTTTGCCTGCCGCGCGAGTTAGTACCCAGCCTGTTTATGATGCCTGCACACCTCTGGATCCACGCTCCGTTGCGCATCACAGCCCAGCAAATTGCCTGAATAGGCGCCGGGCTGAGAACGGAAAACCGCTCAGCTGCATGGCGCAGGGAGGCAGCCAGGTACCACATCCGGGCGTATTTCTCCTATGAGGACGCAGTGATGTCTATAGACATCAAGGTACGTTTGACAGACGTACCGGTGGCTGTCTCTGTCAGCTCCCCGCATTGAAGCAAACCTGCGAGCTTGAGCAAACAACGGCGTAAGCCGCCATCGGCAAGGGACTGCCATTGTTTTATGAGAGAATTCCTGTGAGACATGTACAAGATACTAGTCCCAATGGCGTGAGCATTAGCTAGAAAGTTCAAAGCATCTAATTGCATAATCCTGCATACAACATGCTGCATATTACATTCCTGCTGAATGCCAACTCACAGCGAGTCCTTCATCATCATCTAGGAGCTACCTTGTGCATTAGCGTTTGACGGTACGCTGGACCGTTTCTTTTATGGAAACTATTTGGCTCAGAGTTTTCAAGCGTATCCACCGACAGACTCCATTATTGACTTTCCATCCCCATCTCTGGAGATTCTCCTTTTGAAGCTTGCTTTAGACAGGTTTGCTGTTTCCGGACCAATCACTATGAGAGCCTACGCCACTTACAGGCATATTATATCAATTCACGTAAACACTCATTCCATGGCAATTGCTAGATGAATCGATTATAGCTGCTTCATGTCGATGGCATGAATCCAGTTACAAACCCACAGCTCAAACAAAACCATAGTCTCCATGCAAGCTCATACCCCGGGCCTGACTAGCGTCTTGTCGTGCCCCGCCAGTTACGATATCCAAGTTGTATTAACTTTCTTATCAGATGATCTGATAATTTTTCTTGGCCAAACATGTAATAATATCCACATAGGACGTCGTATTCTTAACCGAATCAGTCGTGCTAGCTATCCATATGCCGTGCAATGCGACACTGCGGACCTCACAATTGGGGCCATGGAGTCGCGGTGTCCTTCGTTTCTTTCGTGGAGTATGTTGAAATGTTTCAAGAGAGAGGGGCCGAGCGGAATCATGATTCTCTTGGTGTATGTTTTTACTCAATATAAAGAGGATCACCGCACCTCGGCACAGTACATGGAAGCCTTGGTCTTTGCCAAGAAGTTAAATCTGCTGGGGCAGTCTATAGTGTATTATTATAAATGACCTTGCCGTCAAGGCATCAATCGGCCATACGAGGGATTGTACTATCCAACCTCGCGGAGTTCCGGTAAACCCGATGCTACAAATACACCACCTTTGTCGTGATACAATGCCATTATCATCTCACCGTTCGTATGGCCGCATATCCTCCCGCGTAACCACTGGCTCTCCACCGCATCACTGCTTCTTCTTGCCCTCCTTCTTTGCAACTTCCTTCTCGTCGTCCAAGTCCCTCTTCTCGGCGTACCACTGTCCTGCTTGCAGCACAAGAATGCCCACCAACACCAGAGCTAGAATGGTGTTGCTCGCCGCCAGAACCTTGAGGCTGTCCTCGCGGCCAAGGATAATCTCGCCGTCGAAACGGCCCTGAGAAGCGGCAAACTCCTCCGTGTGCCAGAAGCCGGAGCTGACGGTGCGCAGACCCTTGACAATGTTGGAGATGTAGACGGCGACGCCGATGAGGTACAGGATCAGCGAGGCGCCGTCGAAGAGAAAGTTGGCCTCGCTGGGGCGGAAGAGCTTGATGAAGAGGCCGAGGAACCCCACGCTCATGATGATGTTGAGGAGGCGCCCGATGAGCGGGGGCGATTGGTGGACGAACTTGAGATGCGTCTCAAGCATGTCGTAGTAATCGGCGGCGACCGGCTCCTTGGTCCACAGGAGGGGGAAGTCGTACGGAAACGACGCGAAGAGGATGCCCAGGAAGAAGCATGTCGCTGAAGCCAACGTTAGCACAAAACATCGCAATCACCGGTGTCGTCAGCCATCATGCTCATTTGCGACTGAGCGAGATGCAGGTAAGTCACAGAGAGGCAACGTACGGCCGATGATGAGAAAAGTCGCAAAGGACGTGGATCCTCGGTAGTCCTTGGACTTGGTGGTCTTGGACCAATCAATGTAGGAGCTCATGGCGGGAGGCGAGAGAAGAGACACTGCTGTTAATGTGCAGGTACGGTACGTATTAATTAGAGACAGATAATGTCGTTGGAAAGGCCACAGAAGCTGCGCGCAGGTTTCGTCGTGACCATGTGATGGCTGGATATGGGAAAAAAGAGGTGATCGTGTCCGTCAATCGAATCGCTGTGCGTGGGGGAGCTGAGTTTGTGGAGGGGACCAGACTTAGTGCGATACTTTGTCCAGTTAGTCATTTGCGAAGCTGCACAACAAATAGGCGTGTATGATTCCTCATCGCTAACAGCATCGAGTCTCGGCACTCATGGCAACATTGACCCCGAAATTTAAGATCTTGGCGCAGAGCTGACACTGCATCGTACCAGATAAGCTGCACGGCTTGTTATCGCAGCTTACACGCTGCTGCAGGCCTGCTTTTCAGCTGCATAATCTTCACTCCTTCAATGCGGCTTAAATTCTTCATCTCTTTGCTTCATTTGTTTGCTCGAGCGTAGCTTCGTTTCTCTGTTTTCTGTCGTGTGGCTCGATCAATTCGTTAGCAATCACCTCACACGCAGCTCTTTTTCAGCGCCAGCCTCCTTGTACTTGAAGCTTCAACTCCGCTACACCACGGTCCTTTCCCTGCGAATACCGACAAATAATATAATCACATCTCATCGCAGTCATCATGAATCAACCCATGACCTTTCTGCTGCACATGCTACTCTTCATCCCGCTTGTCTACGCCGCCAATGCCACAGTCTCCGTCTGGGATGATTCCGGCAAGTACAAATACTTTGGGTGCTACAACGAGACAACCCAGGTTCCCGGCTCGGCCGACACGCGCGCTTTAGGCGGCGGCATCCAGGAAAGTCTCCCGGGTGCGATGACGGTGCCGACATGTCTCGCCTTTTGCGGCAATGGCGCCACGGAGTATCGGTATGCGGGACTGGAGTGGTCGAGGTATGTTTCAGTCATCAATTAGACTTGTGACCGCGAGACAAGAGGGCGGACATTGTCGTGGCTGACTCTTCAACACTAATAGAGAATGCTGGTGCGCCCAGACACTGTCCGGCATAGCTGAGAAGCTCGACGATACAGCCTGCAACTATCCCTGCGAGGGTGACAATACGACTGCCTGTGGTGGCTCTTTGAAGCTGACCATCTATCGTGTTTCTTTGGCGAGTGGGCTGTCTACCCCCGGCCTATTTAGCCTCGCCACCACGGGCTTGGTCATGATGATGCTATGGTAATGCCTTACGCGATAATGATAATGACTGCTTGTTGAAATGTACTGCGTGAATGTGAATGAGATTGGATGTAGCGCGTTGAATATTTAGAGATATTTATATAGACTCAAGGAAAGCGAGATGTGATGCCCCTAAATACAAAGTACTGCCCAAGTGACTTACAAACATACAATCTCATATTCAATATACAAAATTGTATTATATACCTGTTGATATGTTCAGTCATGTCATATTTGCAATGGTGCCAAACCTCTTTCCTCAACGGCGGCTTGCATTGCCGCTTTGATGCCGCTCACTGCCAGCTTCCAAGCTCGGCGGCCTCTACTATCCACACCGTCTTGATCAACCACAACGCCCAGCCATTTGATCAACGCAACAGCCTTGGTCAGATCCATCTCCTCTTTGATTACTTTGACCAAATATCTTTCCAAAACGTCGACATCACGTTTGTGGGGCCCTGCCTTCCTAGTTTGGGCATGCCACGCATCTACCATGTCCTTGATCTCTGATGTAGAAGTGATAGATCCAGAAAACGAAATTACCGGCGGCAGCATAGGAAACTGTATCATTTTTTGACCACCGGGAAGCGGGTTGCCACTCTGATTGTTCCTCAGGACCGGCATCTCCAATCCTGACTGCAGCGCCAACAGCCGCCGTCGATGATCAGCAATTACTTCCCTTCTGACGTCTTCTGGAAGTTCCGCAAGGAATTCAGGATCTAATTCTTCGATCTGTTCAGGTTGAGCCTCCGCTATGGGTACTGGTTTCCGGAAGTTGGTTTGAATAACACCCTCTTGAGCATCTCGCCGACGTGATATTTGGTCCAATGTATTACGGGATCCGCTGGGTTTTGTTGGAGTTGCTGGTTTCCTAGCTCGAGCTGCTTCGGGTCTGTCAGGTGAGCCCCGTGGCAGAGGCCCAGTTGGGTTTCGCCCGTAAAGTGCCAAAACCTCGGCTTTCATATCATCTGGAAGGGCGTTAAACACCTCCAAGTCAACTTGAGAGGACAGGAAATCTGCTAGCACTGGGCTTTGGGGTCTTGGCTTTGGAGTCTCCATTTGGAGTTCCGTAGCGGCGGTTTTTGGGCGCTGAGCCATGAGCCTGGTACGAATATCGCTGGGTAACTCGGCCAAGACCGCGGGATCAGGACTGCTAGGCAACAAGAATTGTGTGCTTGAAACGTTGATATGAGCAGTGGCCTTTTTATCATCTTGGCCGACTCTGAATTTCTGGGGTGTGATAGGGTTGTCCGGTAATCCATTTCGCTCTTCGGGCACGTCAGTAAGCTCTGTTCTTGATTGCTGCTTTGAAGGAACGGGCTCAACGAATGGAGCAAATGCAATCTTTCTCTGACTTCCTTCCACGGCCAGCGGATTCAGCTTGATCGGCTCCAACTTCGTCATCTGGACGCCAATTCCACGAAGATCCCCTGGGCTGAACCTAAACGAGCGCAGTATCGAAACCGCTTCTTTGCCAATAATCTCGTAATCGTGTGTTGCAACACCAAAAGCTGCACTTTTGTTGAAAGAGTCGCATTTTCCATGCCCTAAATGCTTTACTGGGTCGAGAGGCGCATCAAGAGCCCGCCTCATGATCTTCACTGTCAGATGCTTTCCCTTGACCTGCTCATTCACCAAACGCTTTTCCAGTTCCTTGGAGAGGTTGTAGACAAATTCTTCAGCTTCCGTCTGATTGATGAAGCGAATTCCCCAATTGACCTCTGCAGATACGGATTTCCTAGGAGGCTGCTCTCCGACTTCGGTCCGATCGATGCCACGGGCATAGTCATGAAGCTTGTCACTGGTCTTGGGGCCTAGAAGCGTTACAAGACGATCTTTTGGAGTATCCCTGAGATCTTTGACAAGCTTGACGCCTAGTTCCTCTAGCTTGCCGCCAATACTATATGCCACTCCTGGTAGCTCCTCAACCTTCAGATCACCGATGACTTCCATGACCTGCTCTGGTCTTAATTGAAACTGTCCGTCGGGTTTTGCTTTCCTCAAGGCAACCTTGGCTTGCAGAATATTTGCGCCGATACCAACAGAAACGGCACAGTCGGTATTTTCTTTGATCTTGTTGCGCAGTGCCAATGCTATCTCGTCGACCTTTTGCTGTTCTCTCCAAATACTTCCTTCTTCAACTCCAATGCCATGAGATTCGGCGGCGGCAAAGACGACGTCGGTGGCATCGACCAAGGCCTCGTCGACGCTAACACTCTGGACAATACCGCCCAATCCTAAGATCGCGTCGTAGAATTGACGGCTCACCTCCTCATATGCGGGAAAATCGTAAGGCAAAACTTTCAGGTCCGGGCACAGCTCGAGAGCTCGTTTCATCCACATGCCATTCTTAACGCCATATTTCCGAGCAACGTAATTGCAACTTGCAATTTCCGAACCTGCACCCGTACTGTGAGCGACAACAGATGGCTTGTCGAGATATTCAGGATGGCTCTTCAATGACACTGTGCAGAAGAAACTGTCAAAGTCCACATGCATAATGTACTTCCTCGAGCCAGGCCGGCTCTTCACCTTCCGATTTGACAGCCCTTTTTCAGCTGCCAACCGTTGCATAGATGACTTCAAATTTGCTTTCCAAGTCGATAGATGATGCAATCGACTCTCTGAGTAGAACTGTTTCAGAAAGTCGGGGTTCGCAGTGGATGATTTTCTAATTTTCGGATCCGACAGAAGCCAAGCGTTATGCTCTTCAGAGGTCATATTCTTAGGAGGTATTTTTGATAGGTCTGTCGGGCCGGTAGAAAGAGGCACCAGCTGGTCCTCCAAATCCATAGGTTCGTCTTTGAGTTCTTCATCGCCTGCATTGCCTGTTGCGTACCTTTCATCGGGCGCAGAAGCCCGAGTCTCTTCTGTGCTTTGCAACAGCTCGCCAGACCTATCGTTTTGCCACCGATTAGACAGAGGTGATTTCTCTGTAAGTTGAGTGGCTATATTGCGTTGCGCCTCGGCCTTTATCTGGCTTGTATAAAAGCTATTCTCTGTCTGCTCCTTGTATCCGCGCCTGGCTGTCGGGCTGGATTGTGTAAGTCCTCTGTCGCTGTCGAATTTTAAAACTTTTTGGCTGGGACTTTCACCCAGTACCCGATAGTCCGACCATGGCAAGAGTTTTCCGGCTTTTATTGAATCGACGACCCATGCAGGCTTCACAATCCTGTATCGACTAAACTCAATAGCCTTCTTTGGCGTTAGGGTCGCAGTGATGATGTGCGTTGCCATAGTTTTTGAGTCTAGATACTGGAGAAAGCCACCTCCATGCTGTACAATGTCGCGATGAAGCCTATTGCAACTTATATTAGTACATTTATGTGTTATCGTCTTCAGTAAAGTGGCACCTACACTTGAAGTGGTGGCTGAGTGTACCCGTTCACATGGGCAACAACCCCTTTGAATATCGGAGGCTTGTCAGATGCTGCGCGCATGTCGGCATCCAAGTTCTGCAGCTTGATCTTTTTCCGACGAAAATAGTCACCAAAGCCATTGAATTCACTGCCTTCATACTCCTCTCCCTCTTCATCATCAAAGACATGGCCCTCAATGCGCTTCCTCACCGCTGAGGAGTTCTTTTCTAGAGCGTTATTCATCTTATCCAACGAAACTATATGAAAGTTGATCTTAAAGCCTTCAAAGGCTGATCAGCTCGAGTAATTGAGGAGTGCACGGCCACACATATCAAGAGCAACGCATGTTCGTGAAGCCCCACAGACTCAGTCAATGAAGCAGGCAAAAGTGGGCCTTTTGACACATTGGAGACGGCATTTTTTAGGTGCTCAGCGCCATGCGACTCGGGTTATAAGATTCCTAAGCAAATGGCAGCATTTCATTGGCGATGCTGGAATATTTGCAGGGAAGAAATGGGCGTGCCGGATGTGACGTGATGAGTAGAAGTTGCCGCGTTAAGTGGAGCATAAGCTGCGCGCCTCTTGCACGTCGTCCCGTGACTTCAAAGTCGAGTTTCCTACGCCACACCTCCAGCCTTGCCTTCCAAGGCTGCGCGCTCGTCCTTTTTTTGTCTGTCGTTGTTGGAGAAGCTTCTAATCGCATTTGGGCATATCAGCAATCATGAATAATGACCAATTCCGAAAGTTGATGCTGGCCAAGTCGGGCAGGTCGTCAAAAGATGGCGCTTCATCCAAAGACACGAGCTCCGGCGCGAATACGGGTTCCTTGGGGTCTCGGCAGCGAAGCAGCATACCTATGACTCCGTAAGTCGTAACTGCTGACATGTGAAGTCAATATACTGACGCGCAATTCAAGACGATCTTTAGGAGGTGCCCAGGCCGATTTCGCGAGACAGCTGGCTGAGCGAAACCAAGCTTTAAATCCTCCAAAGAAGTTTAAAACATCCGTACCAAAGGGTGTGAAACTGGGAGAAGGATACGTCGACAGATCGCAAGTTAGAGAGAGCGAAGAGGACGACCGAGAAGAGAGACTAAAGGCGCTGGAAAAGTCTTTCAAAGACGAAGAAATTGACCAGGCAACATACGAAAAGCTACGGTTTCAGATCGCAGGCGGAGATCTCTCAAGCACTCATCTAGTCAAGGGGCTTGATTTTAAACTCCTCGAAAGAATACGCAAAGGAGAGGATGTCTACGGAAACAAGGGAGCAGAGAAGGATAGCGCCGAAGAAGCACCCATAGAGGACGACGTGGATGACGAATTCGATCGACTTGAAGAACAAGACGTACAAGCCATTACGAAGGAAAAAGCGGAAAAGAAGAAGGGCACTCTTTCAACAGTGTCTCTGGCGCCTGGGAAAAAGAGAACACGCGATCAGATTTTAGCAGAGCTAAAGGCAGCCCGATTAGCAGCCCAGCAGCAGCAAGAATCAGCCCTGGGAGACCGGTTCAAAAAGATTGGGGCAAAACAGAAACCAGGAACACGGATCGAAAGAGATAGTAAGGGCAGGGAAGTTTTGATCATTGTGGACGAAGATGGGCATGAGAAAAGGAAAGTCCGAAAGGTACAGCCTGAAGAGGAGGATACGCGGAACGGTCTTCTCATGCCAGATAAGAACGCCAAGCCATTGGGGATGGAGGTTCCTGAGCAATATCGGAAGAAAGAGGAACCAGAGGAAGATGACGTCGATGTCGATATTTTTGAGGATGCTGGCGATGATTACGATCCACTAGCCGGAATGGGGGAATCAGACTCTGAGTCGGACGAAGAGGAGAAGCGCAGCAGCGGTAACCAGGAGGCTGTCAAGGAGGCAGACGCCAACAAGGCCATGCCGCCTCCACCAAAGCCATCCGTTTCACAACCAGAACGACGCAATTACTTCAAGGACTCAAGAACGGCACTCATATCCGAGGAGGCAAGCAGAGGGCCCTCCATGTCTGATCCGGCCATATTGGCAGCCATCAAGAAAGCAGCATCTCTCAGGCCCATTGAGCAAGATGCCGAAGATGACAAAGCAAAGGAGGAAGCCAAGGCACTGGAAGAACGGCGAAAGAAGCTTCTTCAGATGCAGAGCCGGGATGATGATGATATCGATATGGGCTTCGGCACCAGCAGGTTTGAAGATGAAGAAGACTTTGAGGATAAGAAAGTGAAGCTTTCGAGGTGGGGCGAAGACGCCGGGGAGGAAGGGTCCAGTAGGGGCGACAAGTCAAAGCGGAAGAGAGGGCCAAAGAAACGAAAGGGTGATGTCAACAGCGCAGCTGATGTGATGCGGGTCGTCGAGCAGCGCAAGAAGCCAGAGTAAGGTCCGCCTTGGGAGGCCGACAAGCCCAACTTTCTTTGCGCAATCGGCGGGCACAATATGCATTTCGATTCCCCAGAGTATCCATAGCGGCTGGATAAACAGCAATATATGTACTAGATACCCCCAGTTATTCTTCAGCTCCGGACAATTCGACTATCCATCGCGGAGCTCCGCGCTGCTGTCAAGACTCTAGCCAGACTGTGATGAGGCACTGGTCGTCACGTGTGGCTCCGGACGCCGACGATTTCCAGACACCTTGAAGTTCCCTCAGTATGGATACCGGCGCCCCAGTTTAACCTCTTTCATTATCAAATTCCAGACGCCAATGACACAGACTTTCGGTTCCTGGCGATGCTAGTCTTGTTAGTAGTATCAAGCGTGAATGAGGGGTCAGCCAAAGGGAGCCTCGCTGCATGGATTCCCCCACTCTAGGGCCCTGCGACTGCGGAGAAAAGAGAAAAAAAAGAAGCGGGTTCCCTGGAGCAGCGAGTTGGCAGCAGCTTGTATGGCCTGTTCAAGGCTCGCCGTCAACCGAAAGCGCGGTGGCTGATTTCTCGAATTCATCATCTGGGGCTGTGGATGTCCTCGATTACGGAATGTGAACGCCTTCCTCAGTTACAAGTCTTCCTGTGCGCCCTTCTGCGACCTTGAAATTACGTATAAAAAGAGGCTTTAAGATACCGTAAAACCTTCTCCTTCTCATTGAGAACGTATCTCGTCTCCCGTTTGGTGCCATCTACTGTCCATTTTAAGCCCTCTCTCTTACACTAAACATGTCATCCGATCAAGTGCCTGTTTGGCTGGATTGCGATCCGGGCCACGATGTGAGTTTCCCGGCATGATTAAGCCCAGACGCAAGTCTTGTGCAGAGTCGCATTGCATGAGGCGCTCGGTGGCCGAACTTTGTTGGAGACGTACGAGCTAACTGGATATTCTCCGCACAAGGACGCCTTTGCTATTCTGCTGGCAGCTCACCACCCCAGAATCAACCTGCTAGGTATCTCGACAGTCTTTGGAAATGCTTCCCTCGAGTACGTGCTGTGGGCAAAGAGCGAGAGCCTTCTGGACTGATACTTGCTACTGCTACCCCAATAAGCTGAGGCACTCGCAACTGACATTGGAAATCTACCAGACACACGACACACAATGCCGCTTCCATTCTGACGGCCTTTGGCAAGCACAATGATATTCCCCTATACGTCGGCCTCAACAAAGCCCTCGAGCGCCCTGCTCTCCACGCGCCAACCGACATTCACGGCGAAAGTGGTCTCGACGGTACCGAGTTGCTCCCCGTTCCGAAATGCTCCCCGAAGCCCGAGCCGGCCATCGACGCCATGGCCGCCGCTCTCAAGGCCCAGCCGGCCGGCACAGCCTGGATCGTGGCCACCGGCACAGTGACCAACGTCGGCGCCCTGTTCCGCAAGTATCCGGAGCTCGTCGCGCACATCAAGGGCCTCAGTATCATGGGCGGATCGATCGGAGGAGGCTTCTCCGACGCACCGCTGGGCAAGGTTGACGGCAAGGAGCGCATCGGCAACACAACCCCCTATGCCGAATTCAACATCTTCGTCGATCCGGAGGCTGCGGCCGAGATGTTCCACAACAAGGAGATTGCCAAGAAGATGTTCATGGTGCCGCTGGATCTGAGCCACCAGGTCTTGGCGACGGAGAAGGTCAGGGATCTGCTGCTGTACGGCAAGGATGGCGAGAAGACTGGTACTGGCAAGACGACGCTGCGGACAATGCTCGTCGAGCTGCTGTACTTCTTCGCCAAGACATATGCGTAAGTTTTTGTTTTCCCCCCTTTCCCGTAGACGATGGAAGTTGGTTGTTTTGACAAATTTACAACAGCGACGTCTTTGGCATCACCGCCGGCCCGCCCCTCCACGATCCTCTCGCCATGCTCGCCGTTCTGCTTGGCACTCCCGACGAGATTGCCATTTACGACTGGGATGAGAAGAAGAGCCAGGGACCTAAACACAACGAGCGCTTTGATGTTACTGTCATCACCGAGGGCACGATCGAGGAGGCCAAGCGCGGAGAGAAGCAGACCGGCAGGACGATCGCCAAGGAGGCGCCTGCAGGAGAAGGCGGCGTGATTATACCCAGAGGAGTGGACGTGGACCGGTTCTGGCAGGTGATTGAGGAGTGCATCGAGAGGGCGGACGAGACGAACCGTAACCTGAGAAACTAAAGAATTGCTTGGGTTGCTTTGTTTTTCTTTTTATATCGGGCCATCTTATTCTGTATTTTTTTTCTGCATTGGGATATAAAAGGATAGATAAATCTTTTTTTTCATGGTTGTGGCCATTACATTAGTTAGATAGTCTAGACACATTCTATTCATACAGTCAAAGAATTAATGTTACACGGCTAAATCATATCGACGCTTCCTTTTCATCTTTATCAAAGCTCATTAGAAGCTTCAAGCTTCGTTCATACGTCCAAAGTGTAATTGCGCTCGAGGGAGCAGCTTTAACAAGGCTGATTGGGAGACCCTTGTACAGGCCTCGCAGACCCTCTGTTCGGTATATTGACTGGATACCTCGTACCGCGGAGGTGTAGATGGGAATATCTTTGTACACATACTTGCTCCGGGTGGGGCCCTGAACCTGGATGCGCTTGCGGACGAGATCGAGCGGGAAGACGGCCGTTTTTGCAACGACACTGGCGATGATGCCGGCCGTGGCATCGCCGCTGCCCCAGGGGAGGTGGAGGTGGCCAAGCTGAAGCCGCAGGCCTTCGTAGGAGGCGAAGAAGATGCCCATAAAGGGGATGATCTGGCCCAGTGCCGGCCCCAGGCCACGAAAGAAGCCCTTGGGTCCCTCGTCACGATAAATGTCCCACAGCGCACCGCGCAGAGACGAGTAGACGCGATGCCTCCCCTGGGCGGCGAACCGCGTCCTTAGCAGGTCCAGAGGGTACGTAGCCCCCGTGGCCGCAGCCCCGGAGACGGCGCCGGCGACAAACGTCTCTGCCGAGTCGGGCATGCGCGTGTTGGGCAGCGCGGTCTGCAGGAAGACGGTGGTGGAGCGGTACGTGGTGAACTGGACGGCCGAGTAGCACACGTACATTAGCTCGGCGGGCACGTTGCCCTTCCACAGGCCCGTGAGCCCTTCATGCCTGAGGATGTGCTTGATGGTGCGGACGGTGCCGCGGTAGGCGGGTGCTTCGCGCAAGGGGGCCAAGGGGTCGGAGAGCGAGTACGGCTGGAGCTGGAGGCGGATCTTGACGACGTCAAGGGGGGCGACGATGAATCTAGCAGTGGAGAAAAAACAAAATTTAGCGACACCCGGGACAGATTATGCAGGAGCAGGCGTGTGTGTGTGATACTATCTGTTTTCGGAGAGCGAAGTTGTGTTTATTTCGGAGAGCGGACTTTGGCTTACCGAGAGACGAGGCCAGCTATGGCGCCGGCTGACACGACTTGGAGTTTCGAACCCTGTTTGGAAGAAAAAAGAAGAAGGATTAGTATTTGGATTGGCTACTTTTGTGTTTGCGCTATAAAGGAGAAGTATGACGAACCTCATCTTTGAGGTGGCCGCCTCGGGGCGACATGCAGGAGTTTGCGCTTCAGGTTGGGTTGTCGTTGCGCAGGATTCACTCCGGAGATTGTCTTATCGAAACTGAAGGGAGATACGAGGATAAAGATAGAGGTGAGTAATGGCTTTAATAGGTTCGATGCTGGTGAGAGCTCTGCCTTTGTGGCGATGACGGCTCAATGTTGTTTTTTGCGATGCGATCGTGTTGGTGCGATAGCACGCCTAGGCGATAAGTTTTCGAGCTTGGCCCTTGGAATGATAAGGGAGATCGGAGCCGACGGAATGCGCGTTTGAGCGGGATGCAAGGCAATGGCAGCCGTTCGGAGCGAGATGGAGCAGTTTTTGGAAAGGGGGAGAATTTGGAGATTTGATCAATTTCCTGCGTTTGTTGTTGTTGTTTCAAGATTATGGTGATGACAGCATGGCTATTACTATTCCCCAGACAATTTTTTTCATAAGGTTTTTTTTGGCTGGCCATTGTTCGTGACGCCATTGGCGTGGTGCTGGATTGAGAGCGTGCCGATGACATCAATTACAGGTACGGGGTCAGGTACGAAGTACTTTGCGCCTAATGCCATCAGGTTGTTAAGGTGTACCTCGTAGCAAATGGCACCAAACAAGCGGCTCCCATTTCCAGATGATGAGCTGAAGGAGCTGATGATGCCAAATAAGGAGATAGAGCTGATAAAGCTACTATTCTACGACCGAAAATGTAGTCAAATTCGAATTGAGTTAATCCAAGCTTGGTCAGTGTGCATGCAAAACAGTAAGCTTGCATTTCACTCGACAAGGGTATAGACCAAGATAAACCCAAAGGATCTGTGCACTTCAAAGGCTCCGAGGCGGAACCCCCGTATTACTGTAAACGACGATAGGGAATATTAGTACTCGTAAAAGACATTGGACGGTGTTACAGTACGAGTATGTATGTAATAACATAGTCCAAGTCTTACTCTTGCGATGCCGGAGCGCCGAAGTATACCGGTTCGGCGCTTTTCCCCCATGCATCTTCGGCGGACAGAAGGAAGCGCATCCATACAAGTCAGATATATTTACCAGGGTGGGACCTCTAAATGGAATCTACCTATCTAGCATGTGAAGAAATAAAGACCTGACGGTAAAAGATGAAAGAGTTCCAGTGAGGCTCGAGCAGGGGGTCGCTGATCCTTGCACCGAACGTGCTTTTCCCGGCAGGTGGATATAAGGGAACTGAGCGTAGAGGCTTCGGACGCTACTCCGTACAGTCTCGTACCTGTCGACATGAAGCATCGACATGGTGCAAGGGCACAGTCAGCAGCAGCACCAGCCCCTTGCAATATAATAGGTACTGCTGCATGCTTGGCTTCAGTATCAGGACAGGATAGGAAAAGAGAGAGACAGGAAAGACGGTGTACTTGCGGTATGACAGCTGCCCAAGCAATTTGCCGTGATCCCCTCCTCTGCCGCAGTTACACACCAGAACTCATTATACGACTGGAGTGCTATCCACCACGCAACGACTCCATCCAAAGTCCCGCCAACCCCACATTCACATTACCAACGCTGCCTCTCCTAAGCTCCGGCAATAAAACGTTACCCCAAACCTCCCCCACTGACCACTAACGCCCAGCCCAGCCCAGCGCTGGCAATTCCCTTGTGACACTGCAACTGAATAATCGCTCTCCTCTTCCTTTCCCCCGGAGAGCCACAGTCGCTGCGAACTGCTCCACCTATTGGTCGGCTGCACGCTATAACGCTATGTCTGCAGTCGGTACCTGGACTGGGGGGTGCCGCGTACCGGCTACTGCGCCGCTGCGCGAATTTTACGGGTTACCCGAATGTACTTGGAACCTGAGTGCAACGCTGCCTCCGTCTGGGGCGCTACCCTCCAGGTACTTGCGACCGCCCGAATAAGTCTGGACTGGGCCCCGTTCGGGGTGCCCTGGCCAAGCCTCCACGATGCCTGGAAAGCGCTCCCATGGAACCAAGTTGCATCTGGTTTTCATGTGTACTCTATATTAACGTCACTCACCCGCACACACTCTTTTTTCTCTCCTCTTCCCTCTTTTCTCTGTCCTGTCCTGTATCCTCTGTGCTCTATCCTGAACATCATCATCTCTATCTTTCCCGTCTCCGAGACACGGTGCTTTTACGCTTTTGCACAACCTGAATCATATCCACTACGTAGTTGGACGCCTGAGCCGTGCATGTGACGCTTGCCACACAAAATTCCAGACCTCAGGAACCAAACCACCACAACTTCTTAGGGCCGAACTCTACCTATCTTTTGCCCAAGCATTCCTCTCGCCTCTTCGGCAAATACAATAACCAAGTCAAAAAAAGTTCTGAGACACCCATCAGAACCAAGACTTGCCCTCTTGGAATTGATCTCTTCCATCAGTATTAAGGTCGCCTGCCTGTCATGGGCGGAACCGTCACTTCTCCAGATCTCGCCAACCTGCTGGCTCCAATCCTTCCAGCACTCCCTGCGGCTGCGATATCGACTGAGCCAGCTGTGGGCATCTTGCCGCTACTCTCGCCTATCCTGAGGCAGAGGGTGAACTTGTTCTCCTCGTCTAACACAGAGCCATGGATTAAGCTGCTATGCTACGATACAACCAAGGCTGCAAAGCTGGCCGAGCTGGTACAGAATGGAAGCCTAGAACCTCATCCCGTCTCGGGAGAGGTCGAAGTTGACTGGAGCTACGATGCACAGTCAAGATTCCGGAGGCTAGACCAAGAGACGTTGCAGGCGTTGATCGTCTTGACCGAGCTTGGCCTTGCATTTCAGCTGGTATACTGCGTCAACGATGCCGCAGGCGGCGGCGATGGATGGAGAGTTGGAGAGATCACTCTGGCAGACAAGGCCGCGCCCTTTTCGCAGTTCGGCGGCGTCCCAACCGTTGCGGAGGCAGAGGCCAAGTTTCAAGAGGCCAAAATCACCAGCCCCACCGTGGCCTATAACAACGGGTCAACCACGAGCAGCGAAGACCTGATGGACGACGAGGACGACGATGGATACTGGGACCGGTACGATGCCACTCCCGCACGCACTCCCGCCAACAATCGCTCTCCGGCTCCTCGTACCGGTGCCAGTGCTACTACTACCTCCGCCTCCGCAGCTCATCTGGGCGCCTACAATGCCTCTGCAGTCATGGAGGATGACGACGACGACTATTATGCGCAGTATGACGACGTCCAGCCCGCCATGGACAATCACGATCCCGATGAAGAGGCTCAGCTGCGCGCTTTCGTCCAGCCACCACTCGGCCTCGGCCGCTCCAACAACGCTGCCGACTCCTTTATTGTCACAGACCCCAACGAAACCCGAAGGTCCTGGTCTTTTGACGACGCAGACAAGGCCAGCAGCTCTGGCAGCATCCACAACCAAGCAAAGTCCGACCTCCCATCCGCTCAAGAGCTTGCTCTCCTGCACCCGCGCCCCGAATCAAGCGCCAGTTCCAATGGCTCACATACCGTCGCCCGGCTCGAAGCCTCTGCTGGCAAGCAGGAGCAGAACGAGTTTGGCGTTAAGCAGCACGTGTCTCGCAGCATTCGCAGCTTGTTCCTGCTCGCTCGATCGTCGGGCATTGAGCGAGAGGAGTTTGAGCGGCTTGTGCGGGAGGAGATGGACGTTTTGTCCATGATTGAGGACCAGGACTGAATTACCTATATACCCCAAAAGCAATTGTGAAGTCGCGAATATTTGATTTGGATTCGAAAAGCATATGGTGGAGCAAATTGGAATATATGGAAGGTATATGAATGGTCATTATTTGCGGGAGGCGACAAGAGATGGAGCGTGCATATGGGTGGGAACGCCAAAAAGCAGAATGTTTACATTTTCTTGTTTAATGTTTTTTCTTGGAATCTTTTACCCTTTGCTTGATTTAAGCATCACAGCGAATTGGCCGGAAGGAGGCTAGGGGACTGGAAAGCTGGCTGAGGACGGCGTTTATCGGAAGTTGGATTTGAACACACATAGCAATTGGATTGGATTGCTGCTGCATGAAAGTCGGAGTTGTCGAGCATACTGGATGCTTATCTATTGTTTTTACCTTTACTTTTGGTTATCTTTCTAATGAAAGCAAATTTGTCCCATGTGTGTCACATGCCAAGCCTTTCAAGGAGTATCACGAAAAGATCAATGACCCATATGTATCACATGTAAAGCCTTTCACGAGTTATCACAAAAAATAAATTGTAATGAAGAAAGTCAATTTGCCAATAAGCTGATATATCCCCTTTTCCGTAAGGGGGGAAAACAAGTCTGAGAATTTTTTCCTTCTAATGTGATTCCGAACCAGATCACCCGGATACCGCCGGCCACGGTTCATATCTTGCAATCTTTCCGCGGTATAATGTGTATGTAAAAACCGTCCCATGCTCATGCCCGATTTTATTCCCAATGGGCCCCAAGAACGCCCAGCATCTTCGCCCTTAACAATAGCCCCAGATATCAAAAAAACAAAAACAAAAATGATTGGGGGAATTGTGTTCATTTTGAAGAAAGAAAAAGAGAGAAAGGAAAACGCAGAGAGAAATAAAAAAGAGTGGCGTGTAGTCAAACCATGCAAATATCCAACAAAACGCCCTTTTCCCTCGCACTGGCCATGCCGAAAACTCGTCTTTTTTTTAACTTGGTTATGTTATGACCAAGTTACTCAGCGCCATCCTCGCCATGTCAAGCATACGCATGCAGTGCCTGTCTTCGCGCGGGCAGGGCTTCGGTGGGCCCGACATGAGGAAATAAGGAGACGACGAAATAATGTGATGTTGGTTAGACTGCATGAGAGCGTCCGCAATGTCGTGCCTCCTTTGGTTCTTCTCGTCAAGAAGCGTGACTACGTCCCTGAGCCCGCGGTGCACATTGACGTATGAGCATGAACTGTTGCAGTCTAACGAACTCGCCGCAGACGCCGTTCGGTTATTGAACCCGTAAACCTCAACCTTCAAGATTGCTCGCATAGTGGTCCGCCAAGTATCTGGCTCCAGGAATCTGTTGTTGTAACTCCTGAGCAATTCGCAGTCGGGAGAGTTGCCGGCACTGTCTTCGGCGGCTACTCTTGTCCATATTCCACCAACATCTTTGTAGCTAAAATAGAGCATCTGATTCTCCTGCTTGGCACGCTCCGTGTCTCTGTCCACCATTTCCAAAATCGAGGCATAGGCGTTGCAGGCGGAGGGAACAAGAGCTCCAAGGCACATCATACTTTGGAAACGCGAGATGGGTGGCGGTTTGGAGAGGTCGAACATATCCTGGTAACATTGGGCACAGTTGAGGGTATCGTGCGCAATTTTGGTAGCCTCGCGGGCGACACGCATAGCAGACAAGACATCGGATGGGAGGCGATTCAGGGAGCCTAGTGCCATGGAGAGCGAGGTGAGGCAGTCGCAGGAGCTGGTAGGATGTGGCCTCGCTTGTCCCAGTTCCGGCGACGTCGTGTCTGTGCCAGTCGAGCCCAACGGTTCAAAGCAATTGGAGGAGTGTGTGCTGGGGCTAGGCTCGCTAGGTGTCGGAGGCTGTAGATATTGAGAAACCATGTATCTCTGCAGAGACTCGTTGAGGTCTTTGGACATGGTGTCCGTCTCGTCGAAGCTGATACCCTCGAGAGGATCAGCCTGGCCCATGTTCATAGGCATCCCCACACCATCAAACAGCCCTTGACTGTCTCGAGAGAAGTAGGAGTAAGCTGCGTTGTCGTCCATCCCAAACAGATAAGAATTGCTTGAGTCATAGTCAGGTAGCAGATCAAGGTAAGAGGTGTCCGATGGCAGAGACTGGCTCAGGAGGTCCAGAGCATGGTCTGTCAGCTCTATTGACGGCAGAGGTTGTTGATGGTGATTATGATGGTGAGCAGTGGCATTGTGTAGGTGGTGTTGATGATGATGATGATGATTATGTTGATGGAGTTGATGGTGATGGTGATGGCCTGCATCGCCATACGAAGAAGTTGCCACGGCATCACCTTCAGCAAGGAGAGAAGACGAATGAGAAACTGTGGTTGGAGCTGAGACCGGAGGGAGGGGAACAGGAGCAGGTGGAGCGACAGAAGCAATGGAAGAAGCAGAAGCAGAGCCCAACAAGGACGCCGACTGAGCAGCGGTCACAGGCACGGATGTAGATACAGTAGACGAAGCCGCGTTCTCTGGGTGTCGTCGCTTTCGGGGACGGCCCATGGGCTTCTGGGGTGAGTAGACGCAGTTGATGCCCTCTTTCTGGCAGCGCAGGCAGCCACCGGGCTCCTTGGAGCAAGCGATCTTGCGGAAACCTAGACAACAGACTACAATCAGAATCAAAGTCTCCGGAACTCTTGGCCCGCTTCCCAAGCCCGCGGACTCGGGAGCGTGCACACTCTCTCACGGGGACTCACGGCACTCGTCGCAGGCCCGATGCTTCTGTGGGCCAGCCGGCGCGGGCAGGGCATTTCCGGGAGCCATGGCCGGGACGTCGACAGCGGAATGCGAGTCGAGTACAAGGCGCGTACGAAGTACAAGGACGCAGTACGACTCCGGCTCAGTGGGAGATTCTGCGACTGGGAGCTGATAGGCAGGGCTTAGCAGAGGGGGGGAAGAGAATCGCAGGCCGTTGACTTGTCGGGGTTCCAAAAGTCTCCGAGAAGGCTACGCAAAATTGCCGGTTGGGGCGCACGAAACAAAAGGCAGCATCAGGAATAAGCAGCAGAGGCAAGGAATAGGAGCTGCGCGCACGGCGTGGCAGCACACATTGGCTCAGCAGCGCATTTCGCACAGAGGATTTTCGATGCAGGTGGGAGAAACAAGTGAGGCTGCGAGGAGGCCAGACCCAAGAGTCAAGGCTGGGACCAACGGCAGAACTGGGACTGGGACTCCCACCCAGGCCTTATCAATTATCAACCCAGATCCTCGTCTTATCCACAAGGTACCCGTGCAGCTGGGGTGACATCCAGGCGACAGGACCTGCAAGTAGCTGGAATGCCGCGGACCAACGAGCATCTGGGCTGGGCTGTGCTGGGCTGCTGCTGCTGCTGGCTCGGGGAACCTGGATGGCCCAGAATGCGCACCCAGCGCCAAGTACCGAGCAAGTATTCCTTACCTGGCAATACCCAACCAACTGACTGGCCAGCCCTGGTTTGTCAGCGGAATATCGAATCACAAGAAGAGCGACGAAACTTGCTTGGGCTCCGGCCAGCCAGAGGATTTGCGGGCGGAATTACGGAGGCATCGGAGACGGTGCAGCGGTCAAGGCCGAGAAGTTCTGAGCATCGAAATTACATAACCTAGGGCAAGAAGCTGGTCGCTAAACAGTAGGCATTTATAAGCGCCATAGTGTAAGGTTAAGTGTCAGAAACCATGATTACCTGACAGGGCTGCTGGAGGATGGGAGGGTAGCACGCTTGGTACGGTTCAGGAAAAAGCAGGGCCATGGGGGCGTGTTGGTTCCGCATCAATGGGTTAATTCAGACCCATAAATGCGGCGGATGAGCGACCCGGGGATGGTACAGTGTTGGCGTTGTGTTTGGTAGGGCAGAGCTACTGCTAGGTGAGGTCTAACGGCTAGTCTGGGTTGGAGGTGGGGAGACAAGATGGGTGGTGATGATGTCGGGGGTGTTTCCACAGAGGCGATATACATCTTACATCCCGCCGGAGCTGTGTGGGATAGTACTGTGGACTAATAGTAGCAGAGCAGAATATATTCATTTCATTTATCAGAAGAGACTTGATGCCACAACTACATACGATGTTGGGCATTCAGTCACCTTCCAGGCTCCGAATTTGTGTGTGTTACATTGGGGCTGTCTTCAGCCTCGAGGTGTCATCCATCAGTTAACCTTGCCCTGCTCCACAGCATCTGTCTACCCGGCTGTTGGTTATGTTCGGTTATACCAACAGTTCAACGGCATGTACTTTATGTCATCAGACTGTTACTGTCCGAAGTTGTCAACGAGTTTGAGATATATACCAAAACTCAGTTGTTATCATGGGCAATCATAAGCCTTGCTTCTACATAGGATATATACCAAATCTGGGTCTCTGTGACATGCCTTGATAATGAATAATTAATCCAATACAGTTTTTCAACACATAAGCATACGAGTATGCTAACTAGAAAGAATCTTGGTTGAAATCGGGACTCTGCATGACGTCCTGCTGCCATCCGCTGCTAAATCTCCCATCTCCCCAACACTCGCCTATCAGCAGCATCGCCAGCATCGCACAGACAACGCCCACCCGTGCCAGCTGTCAGCTCAAGCCTCTCCCTAACTGTACTCCAACAGATACCTTTATAAGCTACAATACAAACAATCTCTTGCAACTCGGACGTGGGGTAGTAGTGAACCTGCTCCCCTCCCAAGGGAAGAGTGAGTGCCGCAGCTGTCAACTGCTCAAATGCCTGCTAACAATGTCAACAGCCCGGGTGCAAATCCCGGCGTTCGAAATGCGAATGCGCCTTCTTTTTTTGGTGTTTTTCACATCTTTTCTTTTTGCACTTGATGTTTGAGCCACCAGGAACTTGAGGGGCGATTGATGAATCATGGATGACAACTCTATGCTCTTTAGCATGCCTCCACTAGCCTGAATTGGTATCAGATACTGCTAGCAGATTATAGCATCTATGGAATGGCTGATCTAGTGGTATTCTAGCGTGAGTATTTCTTTTGCCTCTTTGTTGTCAGCATTACCGTAGTTGTTGCTCCAGAAGCTGCATCGTGGAGAAGGATTGGCACTGACGTGGTCCACCAATACAGTACCACTATTAATCAACTCGCTGCTACATTAATGATTCCAAGAGGATAAACTCATACCAAACTCAAGTCAGAAAAATAAATATACTACAATACCGATACATGGCTTTCGAGTATGTTCGTATCCCAGAGGGCTTTCAAAAAAAAGAGAGAGAAAAAAAAAAGAATAAAAATTGAGGATCGCTGCAGGGTAGCATCTCAAAGTGGGAGATTTAGCTCGTACAGGGATCATGTTTCTCCAACTCCAGACAAACAATCACTTCTCAACCAAGATCGATGATTAGCGTCGCCACCCTTGTAGCTCCATAGCCGAATGCCTGCTTTAATTTCCAAATGCTGCAGACCTTTCTCCCGATAGGTCGATATCCTCCGTGTTGTCCATCAACTTCATATACGATTGCCAGGTGCCTCTTCCTTAGCGACGCCACGAGAATTCGGAGAAAAACAAGGCGACTGAACCTGTCACCAGACCGCCTTGTCTCTGCTTAACCAGCCACTAAGACCCAGAAGTCGCATGGCTTGAAGCAAACATAACAACGTGGTCGCGGTCTAAAGTCTCACATGCGGCTGGGCTGAAGCAACTCGTGTTTTTGCGCATCATGATCAAGGCCAGGCGGACGCCCATCGGCTGATCAGAGACGACTGCTCATTGGTGTCATTTGCGCTGCATTCACTACACGACACATTCGGAAAAGAAAAAGAAAAAAGATATAGATAAAGGAAGCGACTGGAAACCAAAAACACGCCATGGAGTCGCCAAATATCGACGACATCGTGGCCAAGATGCCCATACAAGGCCTGAGCTACGGTGTCCGGACCGCGTACGGCGACACCTTCAGGCTCGCCGTCGCCAACGGCACCGCAAAGCCCCTGCTGTTACCCTGGTGTCTGCTTGGCCCGTTCATCGTACCCGCGCTGTGGTTAGCTGTTCCGCATAAGTGCCGGATGTGGTTCTATCATACGCGATGGCTGGCAATGGCGTTTATCGTATGGTCCAATGCCTATCATTTGCGGTATGCTTCGAGCACGAATATGGCGTGCGCGTATGCGGCTGGGTTGGCGGCGACTTGGGGGACCGTCCTGAGCTTGAACCTGCTTATCTGGACGAGGCCGCAGTTTGACGCGGCTAGAGTACTGAGGATTAAGAAAGGTTCTGGCTTCATAAAAGCGACAAGCGGTGAAGTGGACGACACTCCTGGACAGGACTCGGCAGATGCTGAAGTTACAGGCCATGATGGCAAGGGGGAGAGCGAAAAGACAAATGGAAATGGGAATGGAAATGGGAACGAGCTGCGAACACGAAAGAAGCTATCCAAAAGCTTGAAATCACAGGCCAAGCAACAAGAGGAGGAATTTGAATACATCTGGGAGCCTTACCCAGAGGGAGGCTTTCTTGAGCGGCTGGCATGGTCCACAGATCTCATACTCAGCTTCCGATGCGCTGGTGAGTAGCGTTTTTAACATTTCAACATTTGCCATGACAAACGACTGACTAACTGGCCCATTTCAAAAGGTTGGAACTGGTCCGTCGCATCCCTCCCCCGGCCAAAAATCCCCTCTCAAATCTCCTACGGGGATAAAGTCGACATGGACTCAATACCAACGGTCAGTAGAAGCGGATATAAGCGCTACCTCACCCAGGCCGAGTTTGTCCGCGATCGTCTCATCAAAATCGTTGTTTTGTATTTCGTCCTCGACTTCCTCTCTGTATACATGGTGAAAGACCCTTACTTTATCCTCGGGCCAGATCACAAAAACTACGTGCTTCCGCCTCACCTCCAAGGAATTCCCCCATGGCTTCTTCTCGCTTATAGGGAAATCTTTTGCCTTGCGGGTGTGTACGCTGCCATTGAGGCCGTCTTTGCTGTATCCGACCTGGCGCAATACTGGATGGCTAACCGCTTCTATCCTTCTCGGGCGGTTCTATACCAGTTTGCTTCGACGTTTGGCTCTTTTGGACAGGTCCTCGACCGCGGTCTCGCCGGGTGGTGGGGAAGCATGTGGCATCAGACATTCCGCATGCAGTTTGCCGCTCCAGTAACATATCTCTTTCGAGAGGGATACCTAAAAAGGGGCACGCGGCTTGCTTCCCTGCTGGCTATTCTCATATCCTTTTTGCAGTCTGGGATCTTACATGCTTCAGGCAGCCTCACCTCCGTGCCGAAGACGAAGCCTTGGAGGGCACCAGTCTTCTTTTTTCTTCAGGCGACGGGCATTGTGCTCCAGCAATGCGTGGCGTGGCTCTTCCGGGCGTACTTGCCACGGCCGCCGCGGGTTGTGTCTCGGACTGTGAATCTTTTCTTTGCGCTGACGTGGTTGTATTTTACGGCGCCGCTTTTCATTGATGATCTTTCTTCGACGGGGCTGTGGCTGGTTGAGCCGGTTCCGGTATCGCTGTTTCGGTTTCTGGGATTTGGGCATGAGGGAGATCGCTGGTGGCGTTGGGATTGGGATCATTTGCCTAAGTTATACATTGGGGAGACGTGGTGGCAGACTGGAATAGCCTTGTAGATGGCATGTATCATATTTGTTGGGTTCAATCTCTTCGTGGGAAAGGTTTACATGGAACGGATAGACAAGATACTTGGACAGACGAATGTTGGATTCATCATTTGCATTAATAGTGTATATAGCTCTCAATTAACCACATTACTACATGATCCCGCAAGAAATCTCGTACCTCATTTGGTCGTAGCAAGACGAGCAGTCTCCTCTTTTAACCAAGCAATCACCTCGCCATACCCAGCCTGTCGTCGACCCAACACTTCCAAAAAGGCAGAATATCCGGTGCTTGAAGCTGTTAGCACACGATATCACCGGCTATGGAACTTTTAAACTTACGCAATAACCTGCCCCTTGCGAATCTCGCACGCATATTTCTCGAACCGCTTCTTCCTCCACTTACTCGTTAAGATTAGGAATGCGATGTCCACGACTTTTTTAATAGTCCCTGCGGTAAGAGAATAGTCAGCACCTAACAACCTTCCACCTCTTTGACGGTTCGAAATACTTACCGATGATGAGATTCACTGAGAGTCGCGTAGACGCAGACAAACATCGTAGGTAAGCCCACATCTTGAGCGCAGTCTCGGAGAATGTGCCGCGTAAAGAGTTTAGCACAGTGTCGACTGAGTTGTGCTCCGTATCGAAAAACATGAGATGAGACTGGTACTTGAACGAATCTATACACAGTTTTGCTATGTTAGCGTACCCCGGAGAGTACATGTCTGAGATGGAGGAGAGGATAATACTGACTGAGCACTTTACGCTGAAAATTCTGGCCTGGAGATCGTCCGAAATCAACGGTAATGGACGTTGATATATCTATAACGGATGCGTATCGTCAGCTAGAACTCAAGATGCAGCACCAGACCCGGCAGGTTTACAAATGCTACCACGTACCAATATCCTTGTTCGGACGATGATCTTTTGTAATCTCCAAGGTTTTACAGTCGATAAACGTGCCACAATAGGGAAACTTGCCATCACTGCCAAGTTTCCGTACGCTTTCTCCTTCAACGCGCATGTCAAAGTTGACGAGCGTTTTGTCGTGGCCCACTTCTACGCCATACTCAGGAAGTCCCTGGTGCATAGTCTCGACGAACCGAACAGCTTTCTCTTTATCTAACGTAATGAGCAAGAAATCATCGGTGAGCCTCAACAGAAGGCAGTCTGGTCCGCCCAGAAAGCCTAGATGCTGAGCTTCTAGGTCGGCGTAGAAGTAGTTGCACAAAAATGTCGACAAAATGGAACCCTGAGGGATACCCTTCTTTTGCCGGTAGTATTTTTTCCCAATTTTGACAATGTTACGCCCGACATGCTCGGATAACAGAGCTAACAGGCTGCGTGTTTCGTGACTCTGGAAAGCCGCACTGTCGACGAAGACGGTATTCTTCTTCTTGTTTCCCATCCCGCTTTCCAGCCGGCTGAGAAACGAGGTCGGTTCGTTCTGGGGTACGGCTGTGGAGTGCCATCGCCGAACGGGTTTGGATGGACCTGTCCCTTCTGTGAGACCCAATCGCTCGCCTGGATTCACCTCTGCATGCTTTGTTATGATGTACTGATTCTGGCTGGGAACTGAGCGCATCAAGTTCAGAACCGACGACTGAGGTATTGTGTCAAAGGCAGCTTTAACATCTAACTTAGCAAAATAGAATTTGCGTTGGACATTTGGCATCAAAGAATCCTTGAATGACTTTAGACGCTCGTAAATGTCTCCAACAGCGAAAAGAGTTGATCCCAGTTTAGAGGGATTCGTTAGCTGCGCTTGGTCAGCCTCAATTAAACCCACACGCAGCATACGTTTTCAAAAGGGGAAGAGAAAGAGCTTGCTCATAGTACTTACCGTCTCAAACTTCAATGCAGCGTGGATGGGCTTGAGAATGGAGTTGATGCTGGAGCCAAGCCATCTGGGACCCTTCATTTGCCTGCGTCTGAGATTCATAATGGGACGTAATTTGGTGCCCTTGGGCAATAACCTTAACTGACTGAAGCCCAGCCGCCTAGAATCTAGAATCCGCGTCGCTTCATTCAGCTTGACCTCTTCAAACATTCCCTCCCTGAGGCTCAACATTGATGGCTCTGCTACCAGCCTCCAAACGTCATGGCGAAAATAAAAAACTTGGGACCGATGTGTGTTGGATTCTGTAACGTAAAAATTGCTTCGTATCAGGGGTATCAAAAGCGAATCAAAAACATAATAAAGAAATTCGTGAAATATTTCATATCGTCTTTTTATATCCGTCGGGCTAGTTTTTTGCCCTTCGCAGGCGGGAGGAACCAGCCAAGCAAGCTCCGTGACCTAAATCTCTCATGAGCAAAAATCACAAATTGTGTCTTTCTTCAGGACTCTACCAACCTTGAACTCTTGTGCAATCTCATGTAGTGAAATCATTTCAAACCGCCGAAGCTTGATAAAATGGTCCACTTTGCGGAGAAATACAATTTTGTTATGGCAGTTCTTCTCATTACCCCAGAAGTTGTCTGGAATAATCTTTGAAAGTGCAGCTTGGCAGAACGCCGATACGCAGGCGATGGGACATGCTAGTTCCACGACGGATTTATACTCGGGGAGCACTGAAGTATCCGCGGGATAGCGGCGTGCGCGCCGTTTGGCTTGAGATTCAGTGGCCTGGGTCGCTCGATCTGGAAGTGCAACTGGGATGGCTGATGAGTCTGAAGTTTCAGTCTGCTTTTTCTTCCCACGAGATCCATCGAGAAATGTTGGACAGTAGTGTCTGAGGAGCTCAAAGTAAGAACACCGGGCATGAAGAACCTGTAAACGCTGCACGAGGTCTCTGGTAGAGCCCCTTAGTCGTTTGGGCAACTTTGGTAACGACTTCTCGGGAAACCCTTTACTGGCTCTCATTTTCTTGGTGATTTCATCTTCACGAAGGGTGTAATCGTGAAACTTTTGAGCCGTTTGATTCGCATCAATGGCAGAAGTGAAGACGTTGTGTAAGCCGAACTGGCGGGGGAAAATGTACATCATGAGTTTGACGGTATGCGCCTCGTTCTGCTGTCGAATCTCTATCGACTTCTGGCTATCCGCATCAGCGCCAGAGGCCTTGCTAGAATAGGGATGGCGATTTAACGCATCTAGCCATGCTTAGCGATCATCTCCAAGGTTATATCAGTAAATAGTTTGACAAACGGATATGCTTGAAACCTGCTTGCACCAGGCCTTTTGCAGTTGTAGCCGGCTTTGCATAGAAGATTCTACTGCGAACAATGGTAATGTCTGAGGGTTTGCGTATCTGAGGCTTCGAGTTATGGTCCAGCGATGTGGCATCCAGCTCGGATAGGGGGATACCTTACGGGTAATGGTCAGCAGAGAGTATACAAAGATGGTATAAGCATCTTCCACCTACCAGTAAGTTGAAGGTAGTTGTCGAGGCCTGCATCAACTTTGAGAAATACAGAGCACTCTGACAACAGGTTGATCATTACTCTTTCACCGGCCTGACCTAGAAGGGCCAAGAGCTGGGGCCATGGAGCCTCTCTAAGGGCCATGACATGGAAGTTGGGATAGAGGCTGAATATTCCTGTTCCGGGGATAGTTGATCTAACGGATTGATCCTCTCTGGCATTTCTACGGAAGCCATCGCATAGGATGTGCTTGGGCCAAGGCCCCCTCTCTCTTGTAAACAGCCGCCAGATGACAAAATCAATAATCTACATTGGGCTACTTAGCCTCGTTCGAGCTACTAGTTGCAGTCGGGGAGACAGTGACAGACCTCGGATTGTTTGGCAATTGATGCAGCTATTCCGTTAGATATAGTCACATATGATTCATCTCCTCTCTGGGAGAAGGTCAACCACTGCTGCCATGTAGCTTCCTCTGAGTCGGATTTTGAACTAGTCGAAGCACTGGTGCCAACCAAGGTTGAGTCAAGGACATGAGCAAGCTGTTTCTCTATGGCACTGGCATCTACGCCGGATCCCAAGGCTGCAATCTTCTTCCGCCTAATCTTTGAGGTATCGGGAAGGCTGGACAGCACATGCTCCCTTAGTGTGCTTACGACGGGATAGTGCTGCAGCAGTAAATCTTTCTTCACGGGGGTTTGATGCTTGGACGAGGCAAGATTCTGATTGCCTGACGCGTCCTTTGTGTCGCGCTTCCTTTTCTTGCCTCGAGGCATCTTTTTCAGAATGACGTTGAGCTACAGTCGCGTCACCGCGTTTGGCTGCATGTAAATAGTAGTAGCATCAATGCACTAACATCATAGTCGTGGCTGAGGTTGTGGCTGGATGAAGTTGAACAATGAGCAGTGAGGTTAAGGTTCAATGTTGCTATCTTCAATCGGGTCTTAGTAAGAGCTGAGAAATAGTTTCAACACTGCGGAGCGCTATCTGTCATTCACTATCAGGCACCGCACTAGCAGCGTGTCCAAAGTACCTGTACCGCTGTCAGGTTTAGGCATTTCCGTGCTAAAGGCTGTCCAACGGATTTGCCCTGGCAAGGGTCAACAAGGTTCTGCCGCGTCCGCGTCCGAGGATCGCGATCGCGATCGGAGAGGCAGAACGTGGACACCTGGTCGCTGTTACTAGCTGCCGACATTGACATTGAGGCAAGTTGAACTCGATGGATGCGAATCACGGCGAGAGGCGGGTGAAACGGTGTGAGCCGTTGGCATCATCGGCTGCCGACAGGCATTTGATGTTGCTCTGGCAGATGGCAAACAAACAAAATTACGATGCATCCACGGAGAGTCACCACACGGGAATGCTTATGTGTCGATAAATGCCGACGTGGACCGGACTGGATGCAACATTGAATGAAGCCAGTGCTTGTTACATACAATCCAAGGTGCCTGGATCCAAGGTTATCTGTCCGGCAAGGCTAGGTTAGTAGTGCCAAGTTGATGGAGAGAATGGCCGCTAGTCTAAGGTCAAGCATGTACGCTCGTATGCATGTAAAATTTCAGTGGGAGCCAACGGGTCTCAGGACACGCAGCAGATCGTGGGAGCTGCCAATACCGATGGATGCTGGCTGGGCATCACATCAGCCGAGTTGCATTCGGCGCAATTGTCCTCGGATCGGATGGGAGATGGTTTGCCAATTTCCCTCGCCGAGGTGGCGGCACCTGTGCAATCCTGCTCGTACGAGTCCATACCGACGTGCACATGCAACATGCACATGCGTGTGCCGCCAAGGGCCATGGATGGTAATGGATGTGAGAGAGATCAACGGATAGGACTCGGGGGAAGTGATGATACCTGCATCAGGTACGGAGTCTGGCCGTTGGTTACCAACCCTCCATCAGCAGCCCGATATGCAACCCCCTTGATTCTCAGACAAGGTGCAAAACTGTCGCCAGGGAGATGCGGAACAAGCCGTGCAGATGTAGTCACATAATCCCACTGCGAGTACCAATTATCTTCCACCGGCACACGGGAAAGGAGCCGGGAGAGAGAACGATAAGAAAAATTCTCACATCCATTCTCTTGTACTGCATCTCTCTCTCGCTCTTTTTTCTTTGCTTATTCTTTCTTTTCCTAAAGCGAGCAAGTGGAATCACATAAGCGGAAAGAAAAAGAAAAGAAGAAACAATCCATAAAGGTGAAACATGGCCGTTCTCTTGACTAGAGTCCTTGGTAGTGCTACTAAGATAATAGAACATGAGAAAAAAGTTGGAACATGGAAGAAAAAAAAACCCTCCGGACTCTAATAGCGGAGACTATAAGCCACCCCCGTCCATCTCTAACACGTTTCCGCCCCCCATGAATGATGATTTGACGTTAGTCGGCCAAGTCGCTGAGCATCACGGAGCAGTCGGTATGTACATGCACCGCTAGCTCCCAAGTTAGCAGCACCTGAAGCCCGCAGAAGTGGGAGCAGCGCAGTGACATGCCCCGGTGGGCTGAAAGAGCCCTGAGAGGACCCAAGAGGCCCCAAGAGGCCCATTGAGGGGACCGCTACAGGGGACCCAGGGCAGGGCTGCCAGCAGGCCGTTAATGAGCAGGCCTGGTTGGATCACCCACCTCCCTGGGCGTCGTATCCGGGCTGCAGGCTGCAGCACCTCGATTCCATCTCCCCGTCGCCTTCCAATCACCACCCCCCATCCCCTCTCTCCCACGTCTCACAGAACAGCCAGGGCCAAGCAGCTTCGAAAGCCCGTCTTCCAGGGGAAGCAAACGAAGTTGCCGCCACAGGAGACGGAGAGACACCAAGAGCGAGACAACCAGCAGCTTCGATGCCCGGGCCTTCTCCTCTCGCCTCGACGTGCGCTGACCAGTCGTTGCCGATCAGTCGCTGTTGACCAGTCGCTGTCCATCAAATCAGCATCAAATCAGCTTCGACCGCGCGGGTGATGCTCTGGCATTGACGTCGAACATGGACCCGGACCCGGACCTAGACTTGGACTTGGATAGCGTGCTTGTCGCCCATGATGCTGATGCTCATCCGCCGGCTCGCCATCTCCCCCATCTTCTTGACCACTCGAGCTCCAACCCAGCTGCCTTCTACTCTAACCCTGCCAACGACATCGTCCTGCCCGCCTCATCCACCAATGCTCAGGTCCTCGCCCACCATGCTGCTGCCACCTTAGATCCTGACGACTTTTACAAGAGCTACCAGACAGCACCCGGCGAGCCGCAGCCTTTCCCAATGGCCTCGCCAGTCCCGCCTCCCGACACCGATGGGGCTGCTGCAAGACACCTGCAGCCGCCTGCAAATCGCAGTGCTGGCCGTCAGGGTACCGGTACTGCCATGCGCTCCGCCTCGAACCCCCTCGACCGCAAGTCAGCCGCGACGTCGAGATCCCCTTCGGCCAGCGCCCCCAGCGTTAAGGATCTGAAGAAGCGCTTCGACCAGACCGGCGGGCCCAACTCCATCCCCAGACCTCCTCCGCGCCAGGTTGCTCCAGTCGCTCGGGTCAGGCAAGATACTATTACGAGTAAACCCAAACCGAAGCCGAAGCCCAGCTCGTCAGGCTCTTCGTCCACGCACACAAATACTCGTTCTGGCATCCCCGCTTCGAACTCGTCCAAGCAGTCTTCGTCATCGGCTTCGACCTCGGGCTCGACCTCGACGTCAAGTCGTTTGCAAAAGACGAGGCATGCTGAGCGTGAGCAAATGTCGGGTAGCTCACGGTCGTTTGCAAACCGCATTGGAAACCATCCACCCGAGACATCCACTAACGGGAACTCAATTGCCTCCAGCTCTATAACACCTCGCCCACACAATTCCCCACATTCAGTCTCCCAACCGTCGCCGCCATCTCCAAAGTCTAACCCTCAGTTTCCGGGCCTACTCTTCGGAGAAATCCCCCCGGGCCAGCACGACGTCGTGGCCGCCGGCTTTGGCATCGACAACTTTCGACCTCGAAGAACGTCCGAATCCAACGTGCACGGCCTCGTGGGCCGTCAACGCAGCTTCTCCGACCTCGAAGCCGAGCCCGCATCCCCATCCAGCTGGTACAGGGACCTCCACATGTCCCGAGGGAGCACACCCAAAACCCACACGCGATCTCGCAGCGATCACTCGGCGACGAAACATCTCCTGCCCTTGATTCATAAATCGCCTCCGCCCGCAGCCACATCAACAGGAACAACAACAACAGCGGCACTTGCAGCGGCCACGGTAACGGCAACGGCTGTTGCAGCAGCAGAGGCCACTGCCCACTCCGCCACACACGCGTCAGCAGGTGCAAGCTCCAAACTACCTGTTTCCATCAGCAGGAGACTAGCGAGCCCAACCAACTCCAACTCCAGTCCCGCTTCCTCGCGATCGAATTCACCATCTACCTTTAGGAGACCACCGGTCAATGGTCGTAGTAGTAGCAGACAAGCCAGGCCGAACCCCTCTACGACTCGAGCGAAAACACCCACGCAGACAGGTCGAAAACAGCCTCCCTCGGGCCTGGTTACACCAAGTAATAGCAACAACAGGCTTCAGACGTACGTGTCCACCGCGCCGCCCAAGCTTTCACCGCCCTTGAGGAGCTCTCGTCCACGACAGCCAGTCTCCGTAGCGACAACAGCAAGCTCCCGAATGAAAGAGGCGGCCAAAACGAAACCCCCTGCACGTCCAAATGCGAGGGATAACCCTTCTTCGTCAAAGACGTACGACCCAGCGAAGCGTAAGATAATAGCTGTTGGACCTATAGACTTTGAACAGCGTCGAGAGCACATTCGACTGGCGTACACCAAGACCATTCGAGAAAGCCAAGCTTACGAGGTGCGCCAAAGGGCGGTGGAGAGGAGGCGGAAGCAGATGGAGGAGGCCAAGGCCAAAGCAGAAACCGCTCCAGATACAGATACAACTACGACTACAACTACGGCTTCACCTACCACGGTGACTGCCGGGGAGGAAGAGGCTTCAAGTAACGAGCCAGCAGAAGACCACGTAAATCAAGAGGTAGAGGCAGCGGAGACAGGGCCGGCTGAAAGCTCCTCGGCGAGGGAGCCGGCCGTGGAGCTCCCAGCTGACCATGACCCTCGTGCTGTTGTGGAGAACAACCGCGCAAGCCTTCTAGAAATCCCGACAGATGCAGCCTCGCACCCAGCTCCTGGCAAGGATGATGATTCGCCGACGCTGGGTATCCCCGGGAGCTTCCCTGAACCTTCACCGTCCGCTAACGTAGCAAGAAAGCAACGGCCTCTGTCAACCATTTCAGCAACCTCTGCTGTTACCGAGTTTGATATTGAGCCCCAGGCAGAGCTTTCCGAACTGACTATGTCCGATCGGCCGCTCAGCCCCCAAATCATAGTGCCGAAACGAGAACGCTCTCAGTACCGAAGCCCCTTTGAGGACGACGACTTTCCATCATCGCCGCCGCCGCCGCGCCTTGCGACTCATCACATTAGCCAAGATAGCCATACTGACCAGCAGTTTATCCCTGACGCTTATTACGACAATGGGCATCAGGAGAACTCCTTTGAGACCCATGTGCACCAAGATTACCAAACCATTGTGACGATACTGCCGCAGCCTTCGCACGAGCCCCCTGCTGCCGAGGAGACTGCGCGGGCAGCGTCTTTTCCCCGACTGGATATTCAAGATGAATCAGACTGCCACTCAGACTTAGAAAGCGTTCCGGCAATGGCTCGCCGCATGCGCGCTGATATCGATGATGCCGCCACAGATGCCTGTACCGAAGAGACGGACGACCGAGACGGGATGGAGGATGAGCGGTCC